CCAAATAATGAGAATTCAAGAGCCTGGAATAGAGAAAATAATTTTATATTTCTACTTGTTAACTAATTTTTTCTCAATTTTGGTTCCTTCCATTTCTCAGTTTTCATTAATTTTTCTCCTTCAGTTTTTTCGTCTTTCCATTCCTAAGTTTTTAATAATTTTTCTTTGTCACTTTTTTCGTCTCAATTTTTATCTATTCCCGGCTCTTGAATCTTTGTTTGTTTACCACAAAGTTTACCAAATAATGAGAATTCAAGAGCCTGGAATAGAGAAAATAATTTTATATTTCTACTTGTTAACTAATTTTTTCTCAATTTTGGTTCCTTCCATTTCTCAATTTTCATAAATTTTTCTCCTTCAGTTTTTTCATCTTTCCATTTCTAAGTTTTTTTAATAATTTTTCTTTGTCACTTTTTTCGTCTCAATTTTTATCTATTCCCGGCTCTTGAATCTTTGTTTGTTTACCACAAAGTTTACCAAATAATGAGAATTCAAGAGCCTGGAATAGAGAAAATAATTTTATATTTCTACTTGTTAACTAATTTTTTCTCAATTTTGGTTCCTTCCATTTCTCAATTTTCATAAATTTTTCTCCTTCAGTTTTTTCATCTTTCCATTTCTAAGTTTTTTTAATAATTTTTCTTTGTCACTTTTTTCGTCTCAATTTTTATCTATTCCCGGCTCTTGAATCTTTGTTTGTTTACCACAAAGTTTACCAAATAATGAGAATTCAAGAGCCTGGAATAGAGAAAATAATTTTATATTTCTACTTGTTAACTAATTTTTTCTCAATTTTGGTTCCTTCCATTTCTCAATTTTCATAAATTTTTCTCCTTCAGTTTTTTCATCTTTCCATTTCTAAGTTTTTTTAATAATTTTTCTTTGTCACTTTTTTCGTCTCAATTTTTATCTATTCCCGGCTCTTGAATCTTTGTTTGTTTACCACAAAGTTTACCAAATAATGAGAATTCAAGAGCCTGGAATAGAGAAAATAATTTTATATTTCTACTTGTTAACTAATTTTTTCTCAATTTTGGTTCTTTCCATTTCTCAGTTTTCATAAATTTTTCTCCTTCAGTTTTTTCATCTTTCCATTTCTAAGTTTTTTTAATAATTTTTCTTTGTCACTTTTTTCGTCTCAATTTTTATCTATTCCCGGCTCTTGAATCTTTGTTTGTTTACCACAAAGTTTACCAAATAATGAGAATTCAAGAGCCTGGAATAGAGAAAATAATTTTATATTTCTACTTGTTAACTAATTTTTTCTCAATTTTGGTTCCTTCCATTTCTCAATTTTCATAAATTTTTCTCCTTCAGTTTTTTCATCTTTCCATTTCTAAGTTTTTTTAATAATTTTTCTTTGTCACTTTTTTCGTCTCAATTTTTATCTATTCCCGGCTCTTGAATCTTTGTTTGTTTACCACAAAGTTTACCAAATAATGAGAATTCAAGAGCCTGGAATAGAGAAAATAATTTTAAATTTTTACTTGTTAACCAATTTTTTTCTCAATTTTGGTTCCTTCCATGTCTCAGTTTTCATAATATATTCAATACTGAAGAGTTTTTGGTTAGCTAGCCAGTTTCCCAGCGGGTACTGAGGTCCCATACGGGAAGCTACTCAGCTATAGTTGTTTTTGAGCCAATATCTCTAGATTGATTATTTCAATTTGTTAGGATATTCTCTCGTCATGGTAGGAAAATGTTAGTAAATTCAACAAGGCTCTAATGCACGCTCTAATTCCAAAAATCAAAATCCTAGCACAAAAAGACAGCACATAATTTCTTAGATTTTTAATTTTGGTTCCTTCCATTTCTCAGTTTTCATAAATTTTTCTCCTTCAGTTTTTTCGTCTTTCCATTTCTAAGTTATTTAACAATTTTTCTTTGTCATTTTTTTCGTCACAATTTTAATCCATTTCCGGATCTTGAATCTTTGTTTTCCACAAATTTTTCCAAATAATGAGAATTCAAGAGCCTGGAATAGAGAAAATAATTTTTCCTACGAGCGTGCGCAAAGTAGTACTTTTCCGCACGCATTTCGGTTCTCAAAGTTGCACTTTTCCGCACTCAGTGCGGATACAGGCCTTATCCGCACTGAGTGCCGAAAAGTAAAAATAATTGTCAAGCAACAATAAGTACACCTGTCGACTTTGACACATGATGACAAATTTTTCCTCTGTTCCTGTTCCAGCTAACATCTATACCTACAAACACCAAATTTAATTAACTTCAACACATTGTCAGATTTGTTTTCTATATATATGCATCTACAAACTTTCTCATCAAATATATAGCATTTTCCATTTGTCGAAACAGGGCAAAAAAATGTATCCTTATCCTTACATGTTACATGCTTTTAGAAAAAGATGCGGATGCACTCAGTGCGGCACTGATGACAAATGGAAATCGCCATTAAACGCTTTAAGATGAAGAGCTCTGACGATGATTTTCTGTTATATTTTTTTTTTTGTTATGTAATTTTTTGATAAATGCATAGGTTCCCTTCAAGTTAATTAAAAATAATTAAACAAATTATCGTTTTTTTTTTAAATTTTTGTTGTTACCTACCTGATATGAAGCTCGTAGGAAAAATTTTGTTCCTAACACGTGCGCAAAGTGTCTTTTCCGCACGCAAACACGTATCCGAACTCCGCTTCGCGTCGTTCGTATAACTGTGTTTGCGTGCGGAAAAGTAACACTTTGCGCACTTGTTAGGAAAATAACTATTATAATCTTACTTGTTAACCAATTTCTTCTCAATTTGGTTCCTTCCATTTCTCAGTTTTCATTAATTTTTCTTCCAGTTTTTTCGTTTTTCAATTTCTAAGTTTTTAATAATTTTTCTTTGTCACTTTTTTCGTCTCAATTTTTATCTATTCTCGGTTTTTGAATCTTAGTTTTTTACAATTTTTTTCCAAATACATAATGAGAATTCAAGAGCCTGGAATAGAGAAAATAATTTTAAATTTTTACTTGTTAACCAATTTTTTCTCAATTTTGGTTCCTTCCATTTCTCAGTTTTCATTAATTTTTCTCCTGCAGTTTTTTCGTCTTTCCATTTCTAAGTTTTTTAATAATTTTTCTTTGTCACTTTTTTCGTCTCAATTTTTATCTATTTTCGGCTCTTATCGAATCTTTGTTTTTCACAAATTTTTTCAAATAATGAAAATTCAAGAGCCTGGAATAGAGAAAATAATTTTATAATCTTACTTGTTAACCAATTTCTTCTCAATTTGGTTCCTTCCATTTCTCAGTTTTCATAATATATTCAATACTGAAGAGTTTTTGGTTAGCTAGCCAGTTTCCCAGCAGGTACTGAGGTCCCATACGGGAAGCTACTCAGCTATAGTTGTTTTTGAGCCAATATCTCTAGATTGATTATTTCAATTTGTTAGGATATTCTCTCGTCATGGTAGGAAAATGTTAGTAAATTCAACAAGGCTCTAATGCACGCTCTAATTCCAAAAATCGAAATCCTAGCACAGAAAGACAGCACATAATTTCTTAGATTTTTAATTTACTCCTTATCTGTGTTGTTTACAGCATGAAACGATTTTGGTTCAATACATAAACAATGCACATGTTATAAAAAATTGTTAAAACAAACAAAAAAACATAAAAATTGGAAAAAAATTATACTTGCGTAAATTGAACTCTCAAAAACCAGATAATTATTATTTAACTGACCGGGTGATCGCTCCTTGACACACACCCTAATAACAAATTGGATTGAACAATCAATTTTAATGCAAAATAAAAATAAAAATTGAATAATGAATAATTACAGACACGTGACACGTTTTCTAAGGAACCAGTACAGCTCGTTCTGTAGTCTAGTTGCCTATTCTCTTCTGTCTCCCATTCGCAGGCTTTTTCTGTGGTGCCTCTAGGTTCGTCCCTACTTGACCGCGTATTACATGGTTGCAACATTTAGTTTTATTCAGTAACCGATTTTTAAAAGTTAAAATTTGAAGAAATAATATTTTAAATAGGTGGTTTTCCTCAGTATCATAGATAGAAAGCTGAAAATTCCAGTGAATCTTGTTCCTTACAAGACAGTATCATCCAGGCCAGTTGAACCTTCCAAGGTTTCTCCTACTTTCTTATATTATCCATTAATACACTTTTACGCCAATACCGTAGCGATCGATTCATTGCTCTCTGATTAAACTTGAATAACTTGGCAAAATAAATGGGAATAATTCAACTCATAAGTTACATCTAACAAGGTATAATTTCTGCGGTCGAGGAACTTATATCTTGAAAATAATATAAAGAGGCATCAGTCTTGGTAACTGACATTCAGACAAAATGAAACAAAATTAGAGCAATTCTGGAAAGAGAATTGTGATTTTTTAGTGATATAAACAATGAAGATGCCACAGTTCAATGACAAATACCCATTGTTCTACATGTTATTGAAGTGAAGACAGATGTCAAGGGAAACATGTGCAAGAGCAGTTAAACATTGCCAGAACCAAAATTTCGTAGTTCTTATCCATAACATAACCATTATATTGGTATGCATCTCATTTTTCTTTTCCACTCCAGTGGAGTTGAGTATATGGTACTTTCAAGTTCATGGTACTATACAGATGATGACTGTATCAAGATGCTGCTGAAATCTCTTCCAACAACTTGATCGACGAGTCTCTGCCATATAGCTGGGGCATTGGTTAGCCCAAAGGGCATTCGCTCGAATTGGTAAAGGCCACGGGAAGGTACCTACTCAGTGAAAGCGGGATTTGTCAATAGGCGGACTTTATGGCCACGGTTTCAACTTCGATAATCGACGCAGAACTTCCAGATTTCTTCTTGATCATTACAAGAATCTGAATGCTCTATTATATCCTTTAAAATCGTGCCAGATTCTACATATTGAATTAGATCCACAGCTTTTTTAATCGTTTCATAACCAGTTACTTGAAACATATAGCTAAAATATTCTTTGCTTGCTTCAATTCCAATTACTAACCAAACAAAATTGTTTTTTTTTTCAGAAACATAAGCTACGCATTCTTGCTAATATACCAATTTGGCTCTAGTTGCGTTTACATAGTGTTCGTCGGTCAAAATTTATCGAACGTAATCAACATGTACACTGTAATCAGCGAGAGAATTGTAATGCTCATGATTCTGTTGCCCTTAATCTTGATTACTTTTGTGAGGAATTTAAAATATTTAGCGCCTTTGACAGCTGTAGCTAATGGAATTACCGTAATTTCCTTCGGGATTATTTACTATTACGTATTCGAAGAGGAGATTACGTTAAAAGATCGATTGGCGATTGGGAAAGTTAGGCATTGGCCATTGTTTTTTGGTACTGTGATGTTTGCGTTGGAATCTATCGGAATGGTAAGTCTATTTTATAATTTCAATTAAATGAAATTCAAGATTTCTCTAATCAAAATCAATTCAAATTTTCCAAAATTTGGTAGCTGTAGGAAAGAAGTTTATATCATACTGAATTAATTCGATGAAAAATGGCAACATGAGAAAATCTTGAAAATCTACTTAAATTTTAAAAAATGCACCCCTGTACATTTTGATGATTTTTCTAAAAACTATTGATCAGAAAATTTTAAAACTTTTGAAGTGAAAAGAGGAGAGAAAGGAACTCATCATATTAAAATTTCAGATAAATTCAATGAAAAATGATAACATGAGAAAATCTTGAATATCAACCTAAAAAAACCAAATTATGATAAATGCACTTTTTTACATTTGGATGATTTTCTGAAAAAGTGTTGATGGGAAAATTTTGAAGCTTTTGAAGTGAAAAACGGAAGAAAAGGAGCTCATCATACTAAAATTTTAAATTTATTTGGTGAAAAATAACAACATGAGAAAATCTTGAAAATCTACTTAAGAAAAATGCACTCTTAAAAACTTTTAAAAACTGTCGATGGGAAAATTTTGAAACTTTTGGAATGAAAAGAGGTAGGAAAGGAGCTCATCATACTAAAATTTCAAATCAATTCGATGAAAAATGGCAACTTGGGAAAATCTTGAAAATCAACTTAAAAAACCTATTTATGAAAAATGCACCTTTTTACATTTTGATGATTTTTCTAAAAACTGTTGATGGGAAAACTTTGAAACTTCTGGAGTGAAAAGAGAAAGAGAAGAAGCTCATCATAAAAAAATTTCAAATAAATTCGATGAAAAATGGCAACATGAGAAAATTTTGAAAATCAACTTTAAAAAAAATTAAGAAAAATGCACCATTTCACAATTTGATGATTTTCTGAAAAACTGTTCATGGGAAAATGTTTAAACTTTTGGAGTGAGAAGAGGAAGAGAAGAAGCTCATTATACAAAAATTTCAAATTTATTTGATGAAAAATGGCAACATGAGAAAATCTTGAAAATCAACTTAAAAACGAAATTAAGAAAAATGCACCCTTCCATATTTTGATGATTTTTTAAAAAACTGTCGGTGAGAAAATTTTGAAATTTTTAGAATGAAAAGCGATAGGAAAGGAGCTCATCATACTAAAATTTCAAATCAATTTGATGAAAAATGGCAACATGGGAAAATCTTGAAAATCAACTTAAAAAAACCTAATTATGAAAAATGCACCTTTTTACATTATGATGATTTTTCTAAAAACTGTTGATGGGAAACCTTTGAAACTTCTGGAGTGAAAAGAGAAAGAGAAGAAGCTCATCATACAAAAATTTTAAATTTATTCGATGAAAAATGGCAACATGAGAAAATCTTGAAAATTAACTTAAAAACGAAATTAAGAAAAATGCACCCTTCCATACTTGGATGATTTTTTAAAAAACTGTCGATAGGAAAATTTTGAAACTTTTGGAATGAAAAGAGGTAGGAAAGGAGCTCATCATACTTAAATTTCAAATAAATTCGATGAAAAATGGCAACATGAGAAAATTTTGAAAATCAAGTTAAAAAAAAAAAAAATTAAGAAAAATGCACCATTTCACAATTAGATGAATTTCTGAAAAACTGTTGATGGGAAAGTTTTGAAACTTTTGGAGTGAAAACGGAAGAAAAGGAATTTACCATACTGAAATTTTAAATTAATTTGGTGGAAAATGGCAACCTGAGAAAATCTTGAATATTCACTTAAATTAAGGAAAATCTTTACATCTTGATGATTTTTCGAAAAACTGTTGATGGGAAAATGTTTAAATTTTTGGAGTGAAAATAGGAAGAGAAGGAATTCATATCACACTGAAATTTTAAATAAATTTGGTGAAAAATGGCAGCATGGGAAAATCTTGAGAATATACTTAAATTTAGAAAAATGTACTCTTTTACATTTTGATGATTTTCCGAAAAACTGTTAATGGGAAAATTCTGAAACTTTTGAAGTGAAAAGAAGAAGAGAAGGAGCTCATCACCTCATCATACTGAAATTTTAATCTAATTCGATGAAAGATGGCAACATGAGAATAACTTGAAAATCAACTAAAAAACCAAATTAAGAAAAATTATTCATCCTTTTACATTCTGATGATTTTTCGTAAAAATGTCGATGGGAAAACCTTGAAACTTCTGGAGTGAAAAGAGAAAGAGAAGAACCTCATCATACTGAAATTTTAAATTAATTTGATGAAAAATGGCAACATGAGAAAATCTTGAAAATCAACTTGAAAACGAAATTAAGAAAAATGCACCCTTCCATACTTGGATGATTTTTAAAAAAACTGTTGATGGGAAAATTTTGGAACTTTTGGAATAAAAAGAGGTAGGAAAGGAGCTCATCATACTAAAATTTCAAATCGATTCGCTGAAAAATGACATGGGAAAATCTTGAAAATTATCTTAAAAAAACCTATTTATGAAAAATGCACCTTTTTACATTTTGATGATTTTTCTAAAAACTGTTGATGGGATAACTTTGAGACTTCTGGAGTAAAAAGAGAAAGAGAAGAAGCTCATCATACAAAAATTTTAAATTTATTCGTTGAAAAATGGCAACATGAGAAAGTCAACTTAAAAACGAAATTAAGAAAAATGCACCCTTCCATATTTGGATGATTTTTTAAAAAACTGTCGATGGGAAAATTTTGAAACTTTTGGAATGAAAAGCGATAGGAAAGGAGCTCATCATACTAAAATTTCAAATCAATTTGATGAAAAATGGCAACATGGGAAAATCTTGAAAATCAACTTAAAAAAACCTAATTATGAAAAATGCACCTTTTTACATTATGATGATTTTTCTAAAAACTGTTGATGGGAAAACTTTGAAACTTCTGGAGTGAAAAGAGAAAGAAAAGAAGCTCGTCATACTAAAATTTCAAATTTATTCGATGAAGAATGGCAACATGAGAAAATCTTGAAAATCAACTTAAAAACGAAATTAAGAAAAATGTACCCTTCCATATTTGGATCATTTTTCAAAAAACTGTTGATGGGAAAATTTTGGAACTTTTGGAATAAAAAGAGGTAGGAAAGGAGCTCATCATACTAAAATTTCAAATCGATTCGCTGAAAAATGACATGGGAAAATCTTGAAAATTATCTTAAAAAAACCTATTTATGAAAAATGCACCTTTTTACATTTTGATGATTTTTCTAAAAACTGTTGATGGGATAACTTTGAGACTTCTGGAGTAAAAAGAGAAAGAGAAGAAGCTCATCATACAAAAATTTTAAATTTATTCGTTGAAAAATGGCAACATGAGAAAGTCAACTTAAAAACGAAATTAAGAAAAATGCACCCTTCCATATTTGGATGATTTTTTAAAAAACTGTCGATGGGAAAATTTTGAAACTTTTGGAATGAAAAGCGATAGGAAAGGAGCTCATCATACTAAAATTTCAAATCAATTTGATGAAAAATGGCAACATGGGAAAATCTTGAAAATCAACTTAAAAAAACCTATTTATGAAAAATGCACCTTTTTACATTATGATGATTTTTCTAAAAACTGTTGATGGGAAAACTTTGAAACTTCTGGAGTGAAAAGAGAAAGAGAAGAAGCTCATCATACAAAAATTTCAAATTTATTCGATGAAAAATGGCAACATGAGAAAATCTTGAAAATCACCCTAAAAACGAAATTAAGAAAAATGCACCCTTCCATATTTGGATGATTTTTTAAAAAACTGTCGATGGGAAAATTTTGAAACTTTTGGAATGAAAAGCGATAGGAAAGGAGCTCATCATACTAAAATTTCAAATCAATTTGATGAAAAATGGCAACATGGGAAAATCTTGAAAATCAACTTAAAAAAACCTATTTATGAAAAATGCACCTTTTTACATTTTGATGATTTTTCTAAAAACTGTTGATGGGAAAACTTTGAAACTTCTGGAGTGAAAAGAGAAAGAGAAGAAGCTCATCATACAAAAATTTCAAATTTATTCGATGAAAAATGGCAACATGAGAAAATCTTGAAAATCAACCTAAAAACAAAATTAAGAAAAATGCACCCTTCCATATTTGGATGATTTTTTAAAAAACTGTTGATGGGAAAATTTTGGAACTTTTGGAATAAAAAGAGGTAGGAAAGGAGCTCATCATACTAAAATTTCAAATCGATTCGCTGAAAAATGACATGGGAAAATCTTGAAAATTATCTTAAAAAAACCTATTTATGAAAAATGCACCTTTTTACATTATGATGATTTTTCTAAAAACTGTTGATGGGATAACTTTGAGACTTCTGGAGTAAAAAGAGAAAGAGAAGAAGCTCATCATACAAAAATTTTAAATTTATTCGTTGAAAAATGGCAACATGAGAAAGTCAACTTAAAAACGAAATTAAGAAAAATGCACCCTTCCATATTTGGATGATTTTTTAAAAAACTGTCGATGGGAAAATTTTGAAACTTTTAGAATGAAAAGCGATAGGAAAGGAGCTCATCATACTAAAATTTCAAATCAATTTGATGAAAAATGGCAACATGGGAAAATCTTGAAAATCAACTTAAAAAAACCTATTTATGAAAAATGCACCTTTTTACATTATGATGATTTTTCTAAACACTGTTGATGGGAAAACTTTGAAACTTCTGGAGTGAAAAGAGAAAGAGAAGAAGCTCAGCATACAAAAATTTCAAATTTATTCGATGAAAAATGGCAACATGAGAAAATCTTGAAAATCACCCTAAAAACGAAATTAAGAAAAATGCACCCTTCCATATTTGGATGATTTTTTAAAAAACTGTCGATGGGAAAATTTTGAAATTTTTAGAATGAAAAGCGATAGGAAAGGAGCTCATCATACTAAAATTTCAAATAAATTCGATGAAAAATGGCAACATGAGAAAATTTTGAAAATCAACTTAAAAAAAAAAAAATTAAGAAAAATGCACCATTTCACAATTAGATGAATTTCTGGAAAACTGTTGATGGGAAAGTTTTGAAACTTTTGGAGTGAAAAACGGAAGAGAAGGAATTTATCATACTGAAATTTTAAATTAATTTGATAGAAAATGGCAACCTGAGAAAATCTTGAATATTTACTTAAATTAAGGAAAATCTTTACATCTTGATGATTTTTCGAAAAACTGTTGATGGGAAAATGTTTAAATTTTTGGAGTGAGAAGAGGAAGAGGAGAAGCTCATCATACTAAAATTTCAAATTAATTCGATGAAAAATGGCAAAATGAGAAAATCAACTTAAAAAAAACCAAATTATGAAAAATGCAGCTTTTTACATTTTGATGATTTTCTGAAAAACTGTTGATGTTAAAATTTTGAAACTTTTGGAGTGAAAAGAAGAAGAGAAGGAGCTCATCAGCTCATCATACTGAAATTTCAACTCAATTCGATGAAAGATGGCAACATGAGAATAACTTGAAAATCAACTAAAAAACCAAATTAAGAAAAATTATTCATCCTTTTAGATTCCGATGATTTTTCATAAAAAATGTCGATGGGAAAACTTTTAAACTTCTGGAGTGAAAAGAGAAAGAGAAGAAGCTAATCATACTGAAATTTCAAATTAATTCAATGAAAAATCGCAACATGTGAAAATCTTGAAAATCAACTTCTATTTTTTTGAAATATCTATTCCAAATTTTGAAGTGGAGTTTACAAAACTGCAATTCTTTGTCAATTTGAATTCACCCTGTACATTGGTGAAGTCATTATTCAAATAGAGTACTTCTTTTACTACAAAATCAATTCAATAATAAGTCATTTAATGAAGAAATCTGGCAATTTTGGATAAATCTTGAAAACGTTCCATTAACTTATACTTTTTCCAGGTCCTTCCACTCCAACACGAAATGAAAAACCGAGCACATTTCTCTAAGCCTACAGGCACCCTCAACATCGGTATGTTTCTAGTTGTCGTCCTGTATATAACCACAGGGCTTTTCGGTTATCTAGCTTACGGTGCCGAAGTAGGAGGTTCAATTTCCTACACGATTTCGCCCGAATCCAAGTAAAAAAAAAACACATCAATCTAATAAACTCAAATTTAATCCACATTGTTTTAATTAGGGCTGCTCAAGCTTGCAAAATCCTACTGGCCTTGGCGATTTTTACGTCATTTGCTCTATTTATGTGCGTCGGATTTGACATCATTTGGAACCAGTTGGGCTTGAAAACGAAATTCGTCGACACTAAAACACCCAATTTATGGGAGTATGTTCTAAGGACTTTGCTAGCTTGTGTTATGTGTAAGTCAATAACAATATTAACAACTCCTTAACATAATTTTGATTATTTTTTAGTTGGACTAGCAATTCTAATCCCCTACATCGACTTATTTATCTCTCTAGTTGGTGCGCTTTGTATTCCAGCTCTAGGACTCGCTTTCCCGGCTATTTTCGACTCTTGCATCCGCTGGTATTACCTGGAAGGTTGGCAAAAGTATATGGTGCACGGCAAAAACTGTTTTATAGTGCTGTTTGCCTTTTTTGGTTTAGTAGTCGGGTCTGCGACTAGTTTGCAGGAAATTATCGAGAAGTTTACTCCTTCGACGTGAAAAATGATTGAGAAATCCTTGGATCAATGTAGCTGTGATAACACAACAATTAATGGTTTTTGGAGGTTTTGTTCTATTAAAGCTTCATCAAAAATCTTAAGAGAGAATTGTAAATATTTGTTGTACCTATATGTATTTGATTTTGTACATGAATTTAAATAAATTTATTATATTTTACGGTTGTTTTATTTAAAACTTAAGAAACATTTCATTAAATTGACTCAGCAAAAGCCAAGTTCACATTATTTTGCCAAAAGGCTGAAAATTTCCATCTTATCTTATGTCTAATTGGTTTTCACTCCTGATTTAATTGTGCAATAAAACTTCTGGGTAAGAAGAAAAGTTTCGAAGGAGATATCTCTTCTTTATTCGAACTTTAAAAGTCTTCCGACACATTGATTATGATTAGGTAGGTACAGTTTAGGAGTTTTGCTCCGAGCAATATGTCCAAATTTTGATCATAAGTTGCACTATCCATTCTGAATTTCATTTATCATAAAATTGATAATGATTGATTTATACTATCTTTCTTCTGGTTTCCCTTGAGATATACTTTTCCATGTCTCTCTGTCTTGTGCCGTCCTCATCCACTCCTTTACAACTATCTTGATTATGTCGTCTGTCCATTTCAGTTGTGGTCTGCCACATGTCCCACCCATTTCAACTTGAGGCTTTCCACTTTTTCTAGGATCTCAATTACTGTGATTGTGTTTTAGATTGTGTTATTCCGAATTTTGTCTCTTATGATAATGCCCTTCCCATAGATCTTTGGGTCGCCCATATTTTCCCAGCGGTCTTTCTAGTTCCTAGTCAGAGCCATGATTTCCAGCCGGCAAAATGCAGGGGTACACGTGTGTCTTTAGGAATATAACTCAATTTTCCAAAGTCTGACCAGGCTAGTTGATTCCAACGTCCCACCTTTCCTGTCTGATTTTCTTTTCCTAGTTTTCGGGTGTATCCGAAATAAACATTATGGTCAACTATTCCAATTTATATATTAGGGATTATTGTGTTCCCAAGATCGTTACTCAATTTTTTTTGTTTTACTTAAGTTCATTTTAAGACCTACGAGTTTTGATGTTCTTATGTCATCTGCGAATCTGAAGTAGTTACACCGTCAATTTTCATACTCTTTTCTTCCCATGACAGTTCCTTGAAGATATTTAGTAAAGATGTCTCTAGCTTGGCTCACAACACGCAATAGTTAGTCAAAAAATACTGTAACAATTTATGTATTTTCGCCTCGCTCCCTGTATACTATTTATTGTATTATGTATGGCATCTGCAGTATTTTTCTTCTCTTGTAACCCAAATTGATTTTCCCTCATTATGTTATGGACTTTTACAGGTCATATACGGTTTTTGACCATTTTTTCCATAATTTTTGACAATGTGGTCGTGGACAACACAGAGATCGGTCTATAGACCCATGTGAAATTTCTTAACTTTGTCAGAAAAAAATCGAGATTTTATTTTTGGATTTTCATCAAAAGATGCCGGTGTAAATCCGGTCATTTCGAATGAGTTGATACAGAGCGCCATTTATGACCAATCAAGTCAACTATAAAAATTGCATTGACTAGCTTTGGGTGCGTTTACATCAGAACATCAAAATAATATAACAATGGAAACCAAAATATTATTTGTGAAACTTTCACTGATTATAATAGTAGAGAATGAAAATTTCTAGTTCAAAATTATTCTTATTGAACGAAGATGCAAAACTAGTCAGTTTCACAAATGGACCATATTGTCCTCCTATTCTGGTTATATGGCCCATACCCAATGACCCATACCTAAAATTCCATAGAAATACAAAAAAAAATTAATAAACCTAAAACTGGTCATGCAAATATATGTATTTTTGACAGATAAGGGAAAACTATAATTAAATTCCAGCTAGTAACGACTCTCAAAATAATCAAAGTCATCAGGCGCAAGACCAACACATTTATCGTATGGGCCATATTACCCCTCTCTGTACTGAGCCATAGCAAAGGTACAGATGTCAATTTTTTTCAATCACCAGTTTTTCCATTAACCGGTTAATTTACTAGCATAAGTTTTAATTAGGCATTCCAACGACCTGTCAAAAAGTGCGTTGTGGCAGAAGTTCATTATTCCGTATATGAGAGTATGTAATTTAAAGCTTTTTAAAGTGCATTTTGTGGTTGTTTTGTGAATGAACTCTGTTTATTTTTTTATTTTATTGACCTAAGTAGTATTTCTTCCAATTAAAAATGCCACAAACGTGGAAGTAGTTTCAACAAGGTAACAAGGATGATGTCAGGCTTTTTCATTGCCCTTTGTGTTTTAAAATTTTTCCAATTAAAACGTGAAAATTTTTCACTACCACTGTTCCTGCATCTGAAATAAAGCCATTTTCGAAATATTTGTGAGAATCTAAGCTTTTGTAGGCCTTCATTTGCTCATTAATGAGAAACTGTGGGTCAAAATGTCATCTGGACATTTTTTTTAAACTAACCGTTCGCCCAGATCCCGATTTTCCTGCATTCAAGTCTTTAAATATTCACTCTGCATCTCAAAAAGTATATTATAACAAAGTAAACTGTAATTAGCTTGAAAAATATTCCAAATAAACTCAAGATAAACAAACAACGTCAAATTTTCCACGGTCGCCATATTGAAAAATGACGTGGTTTGGAGAGCCTAATGGAAGGCTGGTATTTGTTCACAATTTAGGTTATTTAATGTCATTTACTGCCGCTTGGATTTGGAAATGATTTAGTCAGTTTCCCAAATGGGCCATATTATCCTCCTGTTCTAGTAATATGGCCCATACCTAAAATTCCATAGCAATACAAAAAAAATTAATAAACTCAAAACTGGTCATACAAATGTACAGGGTGGTCATTTTATCTTGATAACATTTCACTGTCATAATTTCTTTATTTTTGAAGTAATTTAAATAAATAAAAAAACAAACTGTAGGGTTGTTCTCCGCGTTTTAGATAAGGTAGACAAAAAACAAAAGACTTATATATTTTGACAGTTATGCACCCAAATGGCATCTTTTAAATGGAAAGGATAGTCGACTGAAGACGAAACGTCGAATTTTAAATTTAGTAGCACCATCTTCTGAAAGGGAAAAAGTGACAATGATGATGTGACATTTATTTTAAAATTGTTCTTCAAATAAGCCCAGGAAAAAATAAAAACGATTTTACAAAATTTCGGTTTTTTCCGAATATCTCCGGAAGTATTCGGAATCTTTCTAGTTTCAATACGGCATTCTATTGGTCATGAAATTGCGCAACTTTGCCATAATTTAACCGACCCCGTATCTCTTACAGTTACCGAGATCCCAATGATGAGGCTCGAATTTGGGCCACCCTGTACATATGTATTTTTGACAGATAAGGGGAAACGATAATTAAATACCAGCTAACAACTCTCAAAGTCATCGAAATAATCAGGCGCAAAACCTTAGCAAAAGCAACACATTTATCGTATGGTCCGCACTATAGGCCCTATTACCCCTCTATGTACTGAGCCATATTATTTGTAGGTACAATAATGTCAATTTTTTTCAAAACCCCAGTTTTTCCATTAATCGGTTAATTTACTAGCATAAGTTTTAATTGCCCGGTGATAACTGATGTAAAACACCAATTATCCCGATTAACTGGTTGTTCGGTTATCTTTCCGAATAATATCAGAAGCACTAGAAGCAGAATCATAAGCTGTGTTGCAAAAATCCTACATCAAGGCGAGAAACGACACGCTGCCTACGTCATCACTGGTTCTTTGGCGTGGTGGGGGGTTTAAGATTTGATTTACATTGACCTTAGGAGGATAAGCTATCCTCTAGAAGTGTGTATTATCCTTGTATAGAAAGGTTTCCAAACCGTTCATAGGATGTACCTATGTTCATGAAACGGTTTTTGACGTGTTCTCATAATGTTAGGTGGTAACACCAAGAAGAGGTAACACTTAACACAAGTTAAACACCAACACATGTACAGGATGTTTCCTTATATTTTGACCCCTACCTACAGCTTTAGCTATACGAGGTGGAAAAAAACCTCCAAATATGAAAGTTACAGGGTTTTATCTCTATTATGTTTTGCACATGTCAAAATGGGCAAATGACAGGTGCCAACTGTCACAATGACAAACACTTGCATTTTTCAAATGGAACAGCCTGTATATTTTTGGCTACAATGATAGCTTTTTTTCTTCTGATTCCAAATATACCATATATGTTGATATTTGGTTCAGTTGTTTTTGAGCTATTTAATTTTAAAATTGCATTGAGCAAGTGTTTCATTATTGTCGAGAGATACTATAGTTGACCGAGGTGCGAAGCGCAGAGGTCAACCATAATTCTCGAAACAATAATGTGAAAACTTTCCACCGAATTATGTATTCTATTTTATTTTGAACCATTAAGGTAAAAATATGACAAAAATGGAATTTCGACTGACAGTCTGACACCGACATTGACATCTTATGAAATTTCAACAATATAAACATATGTGACATCTACTTCTAAATACAAACATTGCACCTGGATCTGTGTTTGGGTGTGAAAGAACAATTTATCAGGGCCGAGAGTGAGATCTCTAGGCCGAAAGTGACAGGAGAACTATCACTTTCGGCCTGCTTTAAAGTAAACAAAAGTAAAGTGACATTTTCGAACCTTCAAAGCAGTAAGAAATGTGGAAATTACATATATGGTTCAAAATAATAGTATATTACATGCGGAAATGGAAAGTGTTTCATTATTGTTGAGAGATACTATGGTTGACCGAGGTGCGAAGCGCCGAGGTGAACCATAATTCTCGAGACAATAATGTGAAAACTTTCCACCGAATTATGTATTCTATTTTATTTTGAACCATTAATTATTGAAAAAAATAAGGTAAAAATATGACAAAAATGGAATTTCGACTGACAGTGATAAATATATGTGACATCTACTTCTTAATACAAACATTGCACCTGGATCTGTGTTTGAGTGTGAAAGAGCAATTTATCAGGGTCGAAAGTGACAGAAGAATAGTCACTTTCGGCCTGCTTTAAAATAAACAAAAGCAAAGTGACATTTCCGAACCTTCAAACCAGTAAGGAATGTGAAAATTACATATATGGTTGAAAATAAATACATTTTCAAACTTGAATAGCGTAAAAACAGCAGAAAATCAACATATATGGTATATTTGGAATCAGAAGAAAAAAATCTATAATTCTAGCCAAAAATATACAAGGTGTTCCATTTGAAAAATGCAAGTGTTTGTCATTTTGACAGTTGGCACCTGTCATTTGCCCATTTTGATATTTGGAAAAGATAATAGACATAACACCCTACAACTTTCATATTTAAAGTTTTTTTCCACCTCGTATAGTTAAAGCTGTAGGTAAGGGTCAAAACATAAGGAAGCACCCTGTACAGGGTCTTTCCGCATATATTGACCTCCCCACTACAGGGAATATGTGAAAAAATATCAAAAAATTGTAAATACAAAAGTTTTGGGGTTTTACCTGAAATTTTTGAATCCGATGTCAAAAACTTTTTTGTTTTTTTAGAAATGTCAAATTTTGACAGATGGTCCGTTTTTTCTTATGGAACACCCTATATATGACTTCATAGTTGGAAAGAGTCAAATTTTCTGATTTGAAATACATATATATGGTTTAACTACTTTTAATTGAACCGTTTTGGAAATATCGGGCTCAAAACTACAAAAAAAAATTATATATTGAAACACGTCAGTTCTGTTCCAACTGAGGTAAGAACCGTTCTAGAACGGTAATTTCCAGTCGATAAATGCATTTGTCAATTAGGATAGACATTCAACTTATTGAAAAATAGGTGGGCAACTGTAAGTTAAGGTTCTAGAACGGTTTTCATGTCGATTGGAACAGAGCTGATATGTTTCAATGTATTATTTTCTTGAAGTTTAGAGCCCGACATTTCCAAAACGGATTAATTAAAAGTAGTTAAACCATTATTATATATTTCAAATCAGAAAATTTTGACTCTTTTCAACTATGATGTTATATACAGGATGTTCAAGATACCATGGGTTATCATTGGTATACCAGACAGGCAGTTAAATTAGAAAAAAGTTGCCATTTTCGAAGAGTATTTAAAATATATTTTCGTTGTTGCCAAGTTTTTATTAGTTTCCGAGATACAGAGTGATTTGTAAAAAACACCTAGAACTGTTTTTTACTAATCATCTCGGAAACTAATAGAAATTTGGCAACAACGAAAATATATTTTAAATACCCTTTGAAAATGGCAACTTTTTTCTAATTTAACCGCCCTCGTATCTCCTACCGTTTCTGATATACCAATGGTGGCCCATGGTATTTTGGACACCCTGTATAGGGTGTTCCAAAAAAAAAAATGACCATCTGTCTTAATTTGACATTTCTAAAAAAACAAAAAAGTTTTTGACATCGGATTCAAAAATTTCAGGTAAAACCCCAAAACTTTTTTAATTACAATTTTTTGATATCTATTCACATAACCCTGTAGTGTGGGGGTGAATATATGGGGAAAGACCCTGTATATGTTTTTTTTTTCAATTCTGTTCATTAGGAAGAGATGGAAAACAACCAGCTGCTTAAGCTGAATGTATTAACCGAAACTGAAATAGGAAAAAGGTACTAGAGATGGACACTACTGTGGGTTAAAGATTGTGGAATTATTCAAGAGAAAAGTCTATGTGTTTCTTTTTCTCAATTTCACCGGTTATTAGGTATAAAATCCGGTTATAACTGGAAACAAAAAACAACTGGTTTTAACCGGTTAACCGAAAAGAAATCACCGGTTTTTCGGTTTTAACCACCGGTTATTGACATCCCTACAACCAAAACAATATTGACATTAAAAAAAAGTAGCGAGTAGTCACATCAACAAAACAGTTTATGGTTAGATAGCTAATAAATCAGTACTTAACTAGGGATATTTTGCGTTTTTAGTTTAAGCCACAATTAGAGAAACACAACCCCAAATTTCGTCAAAAAGTTATAATTGCGCGGCATCACACTGGCCGGTAACGTAAAACTGCCGATAATTCGCAACCACGTGATAATTGCTGGATAAGAAAATACGTACAAGCAACTATTCGACGTTGTCAGATTGATCAGAAATGCTTTGATTTTCAAAATTGAGACCTTGGACCATATTACCCACTGGGCCATATTTGCTTCCAGTACCTTATTTTCAAAGATTTTTCCAAGAAAAGATTAAAATTTCAATTTACTCAAAAAAGGGTTTGGGTTTTTTGGGAATTTTTTTAATACAAAACCCCAATAAAAATTGAATATTGAACAATGGCGGAGAAATGTCTTAAGAGGCCAGCCCAAAGCCCAGCTTCTTCTCTAGTCTAGTGGCTTATTCGCAATACCGTTCCTTGTTACTCAAACACGTTCATCCCTAAACTTGACGGCGCATGCATGGTTGCAACATTTACTTTTATTAAGTAAACGTTGTTTTTTTTTTTAAGTTAAGATTCGAAAAAAAAATATTTTAAATAGGTGGTTTTTCTCAAAGTTATTTAAACATTTTTTTTTTCTTCCAGAACAATCAGCAACACCTTCCTCCTGCTCTACCAGCTCGGAATCTGTTGCGTCTACACCGTTTTCGTAGCGGAAAACATCAAAAACGTATTGGACCAGTACATGACCGACCCTCTGGACGAAAGGATCATCATGCTCATCACCCTACTGCCTCTAATTTTCATAAACTACATAAAAAATCTGAAATTTTTGGCACCGATAACAACACTAGCCAACGTTTTAACTTTCGTATCGTTTGCCATAATTTTCTATTTCATTTTCAATAAAAAGGTGTCGTTCGAAAACAGAGATCCAATTGGCGACTACAGGGACTTTCCTTTGTACTTTGGTACAGTGTTATTTGCTCTTGAAGCTATAGGAATGGTAAGTAATTAAAACAAACCATTAACTCTAATAATAATGACATAAATTAATTATTGTAGATAATGCCACTCAAAAACGAAATGCGTAATCCTCAAAGTTTCGGATCGTGGTGCGGAGTACTCAACATTGGAATGTTTGCAGTTGTGCTGCTGTATGTTCTGACAGGTTTCTTTGGTTATTTGGCCTACGGAAAACACGTCGGAGGCTCAATATCGTACACAATCGATCCGGAAAATATTGCCGCCCAAGTTTGCAAACTTATGCTGGCTTTGGCCATTTTCACCACACACGCTTTGTCCATGTACGTGGCCATTGATATAGTTTGGACTCAAAATTTATTGAGGAGGTTCGAAAAAAGCAATTACGTTGCCATTTGGGAGTATGTTATTAGGACCGCTTTGGTGGTTTTGACTTTTGGTTTGGCTGTAGCAATTCCTTATATCGATCTGTTTATTTCTCTAGTAGGTGCCTTTTGTATATCGATTATAGGCATAGCAGTGCCGGCTGTAATGGACTCTTGCGTTCAATGGCAGAGTCATAGAGGCCTGAAAATGGCATTGATTCATGCTAAAAATATCGCTATTATATTATTCGCTTTGCTTGGTTTAGTTGTAGGCACTGCTACAAGTATAGAGAAAATTATTGAGAAATTTGGAATTGTTGAGGGTAGTACCAATTCTACAATCGATGGCACGTGATAATTGGTTACTAAATGTGATAGTTGGCTCAGGAGCCTTTTGTATAAAGTTTGTACATATAAATATTCTTCACAATAATTATTAATTTAAGTTCAAATTGTATTAATTGTTATTTAATTATATAATTAGTTGCTTGTGAGAATGAGTGTTAAATATGACAATATTAAGTTAGCTCGAATTATAGTTGACTTTTTTTCATTAATTTTTATATAGTTTCAAATTGGCTTTGCTATTAATGTACTAATTAGAGTTCCTATTTTAGGGTATTTAGATTTATTAGGTACTGTCGTTAATTTCAGGCCTGTCTCTATTTAAAAAAAAAAGAAGTTTTTGTTTTTTGACCATAGAGACATCGCTACTTAGTTTATGACCGTACAGTATTTTTCTCCTCATAGATTTATTCCTAAATATAAATTTAGTTGTTGTGATAACGTTTATGACACAAAAATCAAAAAAATAAATAGAAGTTTTTTTTTTTTGTACAATACACATTTTTTTTTTGTATTTTTCCAACTTTCCCAGTCCCAGAGTCTCATTATAATTTTGAGAAATCAAATAATTTTGAAAGTAAAAAATGGAATTTGTAACAAAACTATGTACTTATATGAGATTTCCTGTATAAGTAAGCGTGCCACTTGTGCCAGTAGGTCTTGAAGTGCTGTGACGATTTCTTTTGTCTCCTTCAGGTTGATGGTATTTAAATCCAGTACAGGCGAATTAAATATAAGGTCTCTTTTTTGATGATAACTTAACGACAGGTTAAGTATTGGCAATGAAACATCAATGTGGTTTAACATGGGTTTAACCTATTTGGTTTATAGGTTTGCAGAATAATAGTGTTGTTATATGATATTGAACTTATTATGTCCGTATTATTATCTTTTTCTCATAAAATTCTTATATTTTCTATCAGAGTTGAATTTAGTATTTCTACTGATTCATTGAATTCATGATCTTTAATAGAAAAAAAGTTATGACCTTTCAAAGTTTTCCAAAATCTAAATCATAATATAGGTACCTTCTTACCAAAACGATGAAATTTCCAATTTTTTTTTGTTGAGATGTTGTATCCCCATGGTCAATTGACATCCCCCAAACTCCATACACTAAATTAGTCTCAGATTTGAAGCCGAAATCTATGAAAAAAGGCACTCAGAAAAATTGAAAAATTGATAAATCACCCAAAATTGCTTAACACAATTTTATCTCAGGAACTATAAGTCCAAATGGGTTGAAATTTCTAGGCATTGTAGTCACTTTATTGAGATAAAATTCAGTGAAAGTTCCAGGTTTCTATCTATAATAGAAAAAAAGTTATGCCCTTCTTAGAAAAACGAGGAAATTTCAAAATTTTTTTTTTGAGATTTTGTATCCTCATGGTCAATCAACATCCCCCAAACTCCATACACTAAATTAGTCTCAGATTTGAAGCCGAAATCTATGAAAAAAGGCACTCAGAAAAATTGATTAATCACCCCAAATTGCTTAACACGATTTTATCTCAGGGACTTTAAGTGCAAATGAGCTGAAATTTTCAGGGATTGTAGTCCTTTGAAAGGGATAAAATTCAGTGAAAGTTTCAGCTTCCTATCTATAACATAAAAAAAGTTATGACCTTTCAAAGTTTTCCAAAATCTAAATCATAAGGTACCTTCTTATTGAAACGATGAAATTTCAATTTTTTTTTTGTCGAGATTTTGTATCCTAATGGTCAACTAACATCCCCCAGACTCCAAACACTAAATTATTCTCAGATTTGAAGCCGAAATCTATGAAAAAAGGCACTCAGAAAAATTGAAAAATTGATTAATCACCCCAAATTGTTTAACACAATTTTATCTCAGGAACTATAAGTGCAAATGAGCTGAAATTTTCAGGGATTGTAGTCCTTTGAAAAGGATAAAATTCAGTGAAAGTTTCAGCTTTCTATCTATAATAGAAAAAAAGTTATGACCTTTCAAATTTTCCCAAAATCTAAATCATAAGGTAGGTACCTTCTTATTAAAACGATGAAATTTCAAATTTTTTTTAGTCGAGATTTTGTATTCTAATGGTCAATCAACATACTCCAAACTCCATTAACTAAATTATTCTCAGATTTGAAGCCGAAATCTATGAAAAAAGGCACTCAGAAAAATTGAAAAATTGATTAATCACCCCAAATTGCTTAACACGATTTTATCTCAGGAACTATAAGTCCAAATGAGTTGAAATTTTCAGGGATTGTAGTCCTCTATTAAAATAAGAATTATTGAAAATTTCAGCTTTACATTTTTAATAGAAAAAAAGATATGATCTTTCAAAGTTTTCCAAAATCTCAATCATATTCGTCTTTTGTTATGACGTGTCCAAGATAGTTAACTTCTTTATGTAAAAATTCTGATTTGTCGAGTGGTATCTTGAAATTTGACTGTCTGAAATGCTCAAAAATTAATCTTAATTGTTCAATTTGTTCTTGAAGCGATGTACTATATATTATGACATTATCTATTATAAAAACAACATATTCTATTTTGAAGTCCACGTAATACATTATTCATTACCCTTTGAAATGTAGCTCGGTGCGGGTGCATTTTTCAAGCCGAATGGCATTCTTTTGAATTCATAATGCCCTATATCAGTTGAAAATGCCGTTTCGTGCATATCAAATCAACCCGCCGTGAAAATTTTTGTTTTTGCGTGGATTATAGGTGTACATAAGAGGATTTTTAATACCCAATTATAATAATCTCATCCTTATTCATCAATCACGCAGCAGCTATACCTTATACCTGAAAACATTGAAATGTTTCATTCGAATAAAACATAGAGAAATGAATTGAAGCAATTAGAGTGATTATTCTTACATTTTTACTTATTTAAAGAGTGAAATATTATAAAATGGTTTGTTTAAAACACAAAATCTAGTATATTGACATCAATAGTCTTCACTGGAAAGTTTTTCGATCATAGCTAGAATCGCTGAATATAGTCCCGTAAGCAAACCTGCAAAACCTAAAATAATCATGCCCATGTCTTTCCAAAATGTAAATTTATTCGGCCTAGTTTTTTCTTCTTCCCAATAGGCGCAAATTTCCAAAATCCCCGGAAAAATAATCCCTAGCGCGGACAAACCTACTGAACCGCACAGCGAAATGAATATCCCCAGTAAAGGGATAGTTGTAGCTAAAATGCCTAAAAAAAATATTTAAATTTATAAAGGCATTATTGATAAAAACAAGATGATTTACACGTTAAAATTACAAATCCCAGCCTAATTAACATTTCGAATATAAGCTTTTTCCTGTCGGTTGTGCCTTCTGGTAATTTGGGATTCAAATAACTGGTACAAATAATGTTTATTGGTACGTAGGCGTTGAGGCCGTAAGTTACGAATATTGCAATGCAATAGCTGCAAATTATGACTTCTGCCATTCTAGAATAATGGATATTAAATTTTCTCTCAGTGGATTTCTATAAAGTCTAGACTATTGTTACAATTCCTTACATCTCCTCAGGTGGAAAATTCATAGTGATACTCGGTTGAATATCCTCTCCGTAACGCCAATATCCGCAAATACCCACCATCAAATAACTTAGAGTCAAAATGGAAAACGCTGTGTTGAGCGAACCGAAAGGTTTCCGAAAATATTCTGGCGTTTTCATGTTATTTTCAACACCTATCACCTAGAAACTTAAAAATGCATAAACTATGAACTAAATCAATATAATTTACCATTGGAACTGATTGCAATGAAAACAGCACCGTTCCAACAAATAACGGATATCCTTGGATGTTTCCAACAGCTGGCCGGTCATTGAAATTCGCATCTAGTTGTGAAAAAATGTAGTAGAAAACCACTCCAAAAGTAACCAACGTTATAACGTCAGCGACCATCGAAAATGGGGCGAAAATTTTCAAATTTCTAACACACATTATGAGGCAGAACGGTATGATAAGGGCCAACATGTAATAGTAAAGCGGTTGCTTTTCTGCACAATAAACGTCTATGACATATTTTAGATTTTTTCCAATGAACACCCAGTAGACGCAACACAAACCGAATTGATAGAAAATTAAAAAGAAATCAGCAAAGATTCTAAAAATAAGAAATAATTATTGAAGTTGGTCTTTTGACTAATTAAGTAAATTCCTGACCCCATAACTCTACCCCAAGTTCTTAAAACAGGAGGTCCAAATTCGGCTGCGGCCTCCATCGACTTGGAATAAATCAGTAAACCGACTCTTTTCTTTTTGCACAATGCGTACTGGCTCCGCACCAATACGTGGATACAGTATGTGGCAAATAAAGCGAGTACCAGCAAGGAAACGATGCCGTTGATCATGCCCGTGTACTTAAAGGCTTCTGGCATCGCCAGTACTCCAGTACCGAAACATCCTTTGATCAAGTTGAAAAATGTTTCAATGTTACTGAAATTTGTTTCCAAAATTGAGAGTTGAATATTCAAAGATATTTCTTCTTGACATGCTTAAGGCTCTTCTGATTTTTGTTACCTACTTTGTGGGATATTCAAGCATTTCTTTCCTGTGCTCATGAGGGTCGTATTCTTCTTCTTGTTCTGCCATATGTTTATTATTTGTTTTTAACTTTTGTAATGTTTTCAATTAAGTAGCGTCAGTGTCACATTTTTACAGTTAAGGTAGATTCATATTGACTTTGTTCTGAAATGTTTCAATTCTTGATGCTTCTAATTTCAGCTACAGAAGAGTTGACTATGAGATTTTTGAGCTTGTCTAAAGAGATTTCAACTCTAACTGGTTCAAAAATTAGTTTAATTCAGGTTCTAGATGAGACCTTTCTCTAGTAAATTTGCAGATGAGCATGATGAGGATACCTGTCTATCCTGGTATATTATGTGATAATAGGCTTAGATAATAGGGATATTCTTTCGATCTGAACAAACTGATCGAAATCACTTGAGGTTTGTTTCAAACAATTGTCACCCGGTTTTACAACGATTTCATTGGCCCTAACTGTTTTTTTGACGCCTCATAACAAACTTTATGTGCGATTACATTCAGTTTGTTCAGATTGAAAGAATACCATTATTATCATTATTATCATTCTTGGAGCAAATAAGCGGCAGAGCCGATGAGGTTGTTCCTATCGAGTTTTACAGACTATAGTGTATGAAGTGTATATTTTTGTTTTTCATTTCAGCATCAAGTCGATTTTTAAACGTGTTTATATTGTTAACAGTCACAGTTTCCTCTTGTAGGTTGTTCCACTCATAGACCACACGATTAATCAAAAAGTTCCTTCGCATCAGTTTGCTGCATTTCTCCTTCTCCAACTTCTCAGAATGGCCCCTCAACTTCCGTGACGTACTCAATTTAAATATACTACCGCAAGGGTGATATCCAGTAATCCACTTAAAGGTCTCAATTAGGTCTCCACGGGTCTTTCTTTCTCTAAGTGTCGTTAGGTGTAGGTGTCTAAGTCTGTCTGTGTATTCCATGATCCTCAATGTTAGAGGTATCCTAGTGACTTGTACCCTCTCCAATTGTTCAATATCCTTTATATAATATGGGTTCCACACAGTATAGGCAAATTCTAATTCGAATGTGTTTGATAGATTTTTAGTACCATTTCTTCAGGCAAGTCTTGAAATGCTTTTTTGATTAAGTATATTAATGTATTGGCCTTCTTTACTACCTATATTATTAATGTGTGATTCCCACTTAAGGTCTTCAGACATTATTACCCCTAGATCTTCATGGGTTTTTACAGATTTTAGTGTGTGTATTCTATTCTATTCTATTCGGGAGTTTCCCGTACCCATATGCAACACAACACATTTGTCAGCATTGAGGGGAAGTAGCCATTGTTTGGACCAGTCACTAATTTTTTGTAGATCACTCTTTAATGTAATGGATGGATTTCCGTATATTTTGGTATCGTCTGCATATAAAAGGATGTCAAAGGTGACAAGTCGTGGTAAATCGCTGGTATAAAGCAGGAACAATAATGGTCCCAACACAGACCCCTGCGGTACTCCACTTGTGACAGTGTACATTGGTGAGAGTTGGTCATTTATGCGCACGCAGTATTCCCTGTCTGCCAGGAAGCTCTTTATCCAGGACAAAAGGTGTCCTCTCACTCCAAAGTGTTCGAGTTTGCTGAGCAGTCTTTTATGGGGTACTTTATCGAACGCTTTCTCATAATCGAGGTATATAATGTCAATGGGTTCGTTATTATCTAAACACGCTGACCGGTGATCTTCTTGAGAGGAAACCGTGCTGGCTCTCAGGTATGATATTGTGGTGTGTCATAAATTCTGTTAATTCTTTAGTGACTACTTTTTCCATTACCCTACCAATGCAGCTTGTCAGACTTATGGGGCGATAGTTGACTGAATTGTGCTTGTCACCTTTTCTATATATGTGTCTTGTCTTGTCTTGTGGAAGTGTTTGGCCACTCATTGATTTGTTCATGATGTTTGCAAGATGCTGACTGATGCTCTCTGCACAATTCTTGAGAAATATTGGCGGTATAAACTCAATGTTTGTAATATGTTCCTCAACTCCATTGATGATTTGTATTGGGGGTGGTGGTGTATTAGGCTCAGTTGTATACAGTTCAGAAAACTGCCTGGCAAACTGATCTGCAATTTGAGCTGAGTCAGTAACTATATTATTTGATTTGTCCTTGAGAGTAATTTGGGCACATTTTGAGTTTAGTGTCCTTTTAATGTATGCATAGAATTTTTTATCACCGGTTTCCAGTAGGCCTTGTTCATATGATCGTCTTGCATTTTTTATTAATGTTTTTAGATTGTTGTTATGTGTTCTATAGGTAGCGTAATCAGATGTACAGTTTGTTAACCGATATTTATCCCACAGTTGACGTTTTTTGTTGATGGCTTTAAATATAGTTGGTGTAATCCAAGATTTGTTCGGATTTTTCACCGTTGTTCTTAGTGGGATATGTTGGTTAATCGCTTGTTTGGTGGCGTTAATGAAATTTTCATAGGAGACATTTTCTTCGTCAATCATGTGCAATTTCAGTTCATTGTTAATAGGGCCATAGTTGGCGTTCCAAAAATTTCTCTTTTTGACCTTGCGTATTTGGCCACGTAGAGTGTTTATTTGCGCGATGGCAGTTATTACAATGGGGTCGCTAAGCTCGATTGGTGGTTCCTGCTTTATTGAAGCGACTAACTTTTTGTCATTGGTCAATAAAAGGTCTAATAATGAAATTTGGTTATTTCTTATGCGAGTGGGAAAGTCAATAAGTTGGTAAAAACTTGACTGAGTGTATGTTTCAAGGAAGTTTCTAGCTTCTTCGTCGTGTCCCAGTAGTGACGTGCCTTGCCAATCGATGTTCCTGTAGTTGAAGTCACCGAACATAATAATGCTTTTGTTTTCATTTGACGCTCTCTCCATGGTTTCCAATAATATGTTGTTTTCCAGAAGACCAACATTTCCAGGTCTGTATATACATCCCGAAAAGAGGGACACTTTGCCTATCTGGATGTCAACCCAGACTGACATGATCTTACTGTTCTCATTGCTATATTTGGTGTTGACCAAAGCACTAATTTTGAGGTTTGCAAAATTTTCACGAACATATATGATGACGCCACCACCTTTTTGATCCACTCGATAACGTTGAAAATGTGTGTAACTAGGAAGGGCAAGCAGTGTTTTATTATTATTGTTTGCCCGCGTTTCAGTTATAAATATTATGGCTGGAGACTTCTGGATAATTATTGCATAAAATTCATCCAATTTCGTGAACAATGAGTTAGCATTGGTATAAAACATAGTGACTTCCAACAGTTGATTGTGATTTAGTTTTTTGCTTGTGTTTTACTAATAATTTGGGATATTTTTGGCACTTGATCTATGTATCTGATAATAAGATTTTGCTCACCCTTCTCTTACCTGCTTTTGAGTTCTGTCACGAGCTTTCGCAGGTATTCACGTTGTTGTATCGTAAGATCTGGTTTTATGTATGACTGTGAGTCCTTAGGCAGTTTATTTTTATTTCTCAATATTTGAATGACAGTTTCTATTGATTTTAGGACAACCTTTATTGGCCTGACTTTACCCTCATCAGGTTTACCCAATCTGTAGTACTGTATTTCTTCGTTAAAAGTATCAACGCATTGCTTCAAGATGTTATTTACTTTTGCCTTCTCATCTTTCTCACGATCTTCTCTGTTTTGAATATTAGTTTCATGGAGACCAAATATTAGAATGTTTTTCGAGCGTAGTTGTCTCTCCTGCAGCTCTTGAAGTACAGCCTCACCGGGTGCATCAGCCGTTGTCAAGGCCATTGTTTTGGTTTGTATTACCTTCTTAAGATGCTTTATATCATCCTGCACTGCTTTTGTTGATTCGAAATCTGTCTTTCTGCTTACTATTTCGGCATAGGTAGACTTAATTTCTTTGATGTTGGTTTGCAGCTTCTTTAGTTCGGAGTGTAGGGTTTCTTTTATTTGCTGTGTGCTTGCACCCAGTTCACTTACTTGGTTTTGGATATTTGGGATATCTTTAATATGCTTTCGTATTTCCTTTAAACACTCTTGGCAGAAGAAACTGATGACTTTGGTTTGAGCCGTTAGTGCTCTTACTTCACTCGAAAACAGCTTTGAGCAATTCCTACATAGGATTCTTTTGCATAGATCACATGAGCAGCCAAACAGCTCCTTGATATTGTTGCTTTTGGTAACATCTATGAAGGCGCAAGTTGAATTACACTTAAAACAAGACATTTTTGTGGTTGAGTCCATCTTTCACAGTTTCACTCAAAAAGTTCAAAGATATTAAGTAACTGTGTGTTTAATTTTTGGAGGCGCCTCCGCCAACTTGCCCTGAATCTAAGTATTCACCGTGAAAGGAACTTTACCCCTGTCGTCCCGTCGAAGGCCAAGCTCCTATCAGTGTTTACTATATAAAAACCAAAACAATAAAGAAGTGGGTAAAAAATGTTTACACTTAAATTGTTCGAATAGTTTCCTTTGTGTTAATAGTCTAGGAAAATAGTCGAAAAATACATGCATTGCAAAAAAAAAATTCCTACCCAGATAAACTTTTCAGGGATGATAGGGGGCGGGTGGGTGATCATAAAACCGAAAATATCAAACATGGTAAATGGCGCACTTTCAACCCCTATAGCACAAAACGCCAGAGGGGTGAATGTTTGATATCTTCGGTTTTATGATCACCCACCCTCCCCCTATCATCCCTGAAAAGTTCTTTTGGGTAGGATTTTTTTTTTTGAAAATCGAAAATTTTCCTAGACTATAACTACTTTTGGTTTTCACTAACGATTACGGTAATATTTAAGATAAATAACAGCGAAAAATCGGACACAAATGTGGAGCAAAAACCACTACACTTGTCTCACACACTCACAATTTTTAATACCTGGATTATTATAGGTTGTATTAACGGTAAATGCATATGAAATTCTTGTACATTAAAGTACCTGTATCTCAAAAACTTATCATAGGATTGGTTCGGGCCTATGAGAACTTTTTATCAGGAAGTCAAGGTCTAACACATATCAAAATTTCATTGAATTTGACAGAAAACCAAATACCCATAAGAGGTACGTGCGGAATCCTTTATAATTTTTTTTCTATTGAATTTGATTCTTTACTCTGTTCACTGACAAAATTTCAATCCAATCCCTCATAAGTTTTTCTCAAAAAAAATAAAACGCCTCTCAATGTTCCAATTAAATTCTCTACAAATCTCCGGTAAATGATTTTAATCCAATTTCAATAATTTTGCAGCTACAAAGTTTTTTGCCTATAATTTTTCCCACAATGACACATTTTGCCTCACAACTTCAGCTTCAAAAATTCCATAGCTGCAAAGCTTCAAAGTTTTTGGATTGTACTTTTAAGTTTTGGGAAATTATAGGGGTAACTTTATTGGGATTTCTAGGTCTTATGGAACCACTAGAAATTCATCGAAATATGACAATGGGATGATGTTTCACTTAAAAATTTTATTTTCTATTAATAAATCGTTTATTAATAAGCGTTAGACAAAAAAAAAAGCAAAATATTGTAAATTTGCTTACAAAAATTCCATTTCTCTTTCGATGCCCACAAACTTGAGTTGCTCTGTTGGACCGTATCTGTAAATAATAAGTATTATTTTTCAAATATTATCATACAAAAGTTGTTACCTGTAATCGAAAAATAACTCTTCTCCAGGCTGAATAGCCCTTTTGGCAAAAATCCCGATTCTGTGATCACCGTTAACCATCATTACTTTAGCATAACAATTTGGATTGATGGAATGATTGGCAAAACGGATTTTGTTGCCTTTTCTTGTAGCATCCACAACAAAATCTAATTTAAAAAAAAATATACAAATTCACAACCAAAAAAACCCTACTCTATCCACCTACCATTGTTCAAATTAAACAAAAAAGAACACATATATTTATCATAAACTTTCCCTCTACGATCAGCTTCGTCCTGCGAAATGATCTCTCCACAATACTCAGAAATAAACTCGTTTTTCTGAGCACTATCCTTAAGGAAAATCCCCCAACCGGCCACATCAGAAGGCGCCATCAAAAGATGTTTGTGCAACCCCCTTTGCACGCTCACATTCTTGCAAGTAATTTTCGTGACATCAGACTGATCAGCTCCGCAAGTCTGGCACAGATCCGGATCGCATTCCCTCACCGCCAAATAACAAGGGCACTGCTTGGTGTTGCACTGCGCCTTGCAACGACAGCCAGGGAAACGATTCTGGCAGTCTGAGCTGCACTGGCAGAACTTTTCGCAAAAGTTCTGAGCTCCGATGCAGGGGCAGTTGTGGTCGCAATTTTGCCCCGGGTGGTCGCACGGGCTGAAATTGTAGACGTGATTGCTGCTAGAGTCTTTTTTTAGTTGGATTTTTCTGCAGTGCATCGACCAGAGACGATGTTTCTTTTTCTTTTTGCGCGGAGGAGTGAAATCGCACATTGCTTCTTCGGTTGGAACGTCGGCCGCTTCTTTTTGAGCAAAATGATATACCTAAAATATTTTATTTTTACACAAATATTTTTATAATAATACTAATTATTACTTGTTGACAAGTCTTTGTAAGTATAAACTGAGCTATAGCACAGTAGTTGTTTAAAAAAACTTTGTGTAAGCCCCTAAATAGGCCTTCATCGGATCCAGTCCATTCGTTGTCATCAGGGCCCATTAGGCCTAATAAACTAAAAGAAGCCGCAGTAGAAACAGGGTCTCCAGTTTCACAATCTAGGCAAAAAATATGTGTCATTGAAATGCTCAAAGTCTAAAATAATCTTACCTTTGTTACTATCATTGCTATCTTCTGAGCTAGCTTCATTTCCAGAATCCACACTAGTTTGCTTGCAAATCTTCCTAGGATTGGAACTCTGAGCCTTGGAATCTGTAACCTCTCCCAAAGAAGACTTTCGTTTTTTTTCTTGCTCTTTTTCCTTTTCGGCCAGTTCAGTTTCTTCTTCCTGTTTTGCTTTTGCGGCCATTTTTTCTTTTACAGCCTCCTAAAACCAACATATTTCAACCAATCAAATTTATTTAAAATCAAATTCTCACCAAATGCATGTAACAATCCAAACCGCAAGGTGCGCTAAACGGTTTCAGATCCGGCCCTCTTCTTTTTTGCAAGTTGGGACTGGGATGACAAGCTTGAAGACCTGAATATGACAATAATTTACTATGATTTTTTTTAAATTCAACTCTACTTGTCAGCAATTTCAATGGGCCTAAAATACTTGAAAAGTACTATTTCTAATTATGACTACAATGGCCTAATTTTAATTTACTATTAACTGTGGCAGGGTAGTTTGTAGAACAAAGGAGGAAAAATTACTATACTTAAGCTCTAATTATTAAAATAAACGATTTAATAATCACTAATTATTGTTACCTTGTGGTCCTTAAAGGTTTGAGCAAGCAATAAGAAAATTAGACAGGAATAAGAAATTTGATTAAAATCATGTACAAGTGCACAAGGCTACCTAAATTTTGTATTTTTTTTTTGCCAATTTTAGTCTTACAAAATAAAACACAGACCATGAAAATTACTTACGGTGCAAAAAACAATCATATTTAAAGCATCTTCTACAGAAAAGGGTGCGAAACGAGTGCATGCTTTGTTCACGAGGCACTGAAGAAGCATTTGGTCCATCAATATTAGGAGTACATTCTGGTGGAGCATTCGGATCAGTTCTTTCAGTAAGCTCAATATATCTAAAACAAATATTATTTAAAACAGCCCACAACACTAAAAAAAAAAAAATACTTGTCTCTAAGTTCCTCTGGTCCACCTTTATCTGGAAACTGAGCAGAAATAGCTTGAAATATAACCAAAGTTGGAAAATCCAAGTTCTCTTTTTTAACATCTGACTCTTCTTTTTTCTCCTCAGTTGATTCAGGTTTGTCTTGATACTGCATCAGAGCGTGTACAAGTTCCACAAACAGCTCATCGTCAATAAAACCTGATTCTTGATCCCCATGGACTTTGCCATCGTAATTTTTAATCAGCTCTTCAATAAAGGTACCGTCTTGGTCCAAAACTTCGTCGCCCATATAAGGAATGTTGTGCAAAACAGTTTCATCTTCGACCATGAAGTTTTGCTGAATAGGAGCCCAATTGTACATTGTAGGGATTGGAGTTACAGAGTTCAAGATTTTTATGGTGGCCACTTGGATGTCTCCTGAATGAATTGTTTTGTAAGTTTGAAGGGAGAAATTGGTTTTATTTTACCTTCATTGCCGATGACTTCGGCTTTTTTCATGCAAGTTGCGTGAGCAGGAAGATCGGGGGTTGGTACCCAATAGGATTTCGAGCTTGTCCACCTTGAATGAGATACTAGTTTATAGATCAGCTCAAGAATGCATCAATTATTGTAAGTTTTCAATAAACAACAAGAATTTATCTTTTTTGATTATTCTTATTCTCCAATCTTCAATTTATATATTTGGAAATAAATCATCTGTTGCAAAAGTACATTGTGCAGGCTTAAGCCTTTTAGTTCAGGGTACATTGATATCAATTCTTATTTCAAGCCACTAATTATTTATATTTTGATTATAGTTGGCTCTTAAAATAGAGTTAATCATGAGCTGGAAAAATTCTTAATTTTGATAACCAATGAACCAAGTTTTCATTATTACTGGCTCTTGATTCGCTGGATAATTTTTGATATTTCAATGGAAAAAGCAAAAAGGAAGCACAGTTAAAACAAATTTAAACCATTTTGTAGTTTAAAGGAAAAACTGATCCAACTAACCCAATCTCTCAGCTCTTTATTTTTTATCTTTGTTCACTGAAGATTATTTGAAAAAAAAGACAAACTTTAGGCTGTAGGTACATCAGCTGGTGATCGAGTAAATCGGATCAGGGTTTCCGTAAAGACAGTTGGACTTGTCTACATCGTCCACATAAATTGAAATGACGTCACTGAGACGTTGTATTCGCAATAATCTCGCATTTTTATAAAATTCTTCTGGTAAGTTCTTGGAAAGTTCTTGGAAACATTCTTTTGAGAGTTTTTGATTGAAAGTTTCCGGGAATATTCTCATTCAGGAGAACGTTTCCATTTTTTTATCGGCGAATATTCTCGGAAATTTCCCAATGTTCGCGAATATTCGCATGGGAATATTTTCGACTCACATCACTAGTGCTGAACCTCCAATACCAGTTTTTTCAAGCAACTCCACAAGAATTTTGTGATCTACTGTGTCAAAAGCTTTTCTTAAGTCCAGCGAGACAAGTATACACTTATATCTCTTATTAACCTTTTCATAAATATTTGTAATTAGGTCTGTAGTTGCTGAGGAGGTAATGCTGTGTTTTCTGAATCTATATTCACCTGCATACCAAAAATTTATTCCATCCAAATAACTGGTTAATCTGATATTTATACAGGTCTCCAATACCTGGGAGCAGGGAAATGGGCCTGTAGTTGTTTATTTCTGTGCTATCACCACCTTTAAATAAAGGGACAACCTTTACCATTTTAAACAACCTTGGTACAGATGCAGTATTAAAAACAAGATTTATCAACTCACATAAAGTAGGCGATATTTCATTTTTCAATTCCTTGATTGTATCAATGCCCAAGCTGTCAGTTCCAGGTAATTTTCCTGGTTTTAATTTGCTTACAACTGCAGTGACTCCCTCTGTAGTCACAGGTTCCCATTGATTTATATAGGCAGAAGAAATTGGTTAGTGTTGAGGGAAAAAAAATTTGGGAGGATGTTTTTTGCTAATTCTGCAGCAATTCCGGAAAAGTATTGGTTTAGCAAGTTGGCAATATTCTGTGGGTTCTGCACAGTGTGTCCTTCATGTACTAACTTCTGTAGCAAGCGGTCTTTCCTGGGTATTTTAATTCCAGAAAGTTGGGAATTGAGCATTGTCCAGATTTTATAACTCAACAAATAGAGGGGACTCAGACAAACCAATGCAGCACAGATTAAGGAAAGTGGTAAGAAACCCTGGATAGATAAATGGATTTAAAAAAAAAATAGGTTTTAACTCGTTTTAACCCTTGTAAATCAATCAAAAATATGTATATGGGAGATTCAATCAAAGTGAAGGACAACCTGTTAACAGTGTTAACTATATAAAACCAAATCCATAGCAAAAAGTTTCAGAATACAATTTCCAGTTGATTCTATATACCTTATATTGAATCATAGTTCTTTAAGGATTTTATTTGCACTATTATTTTATAATGGACCGAGGGGTAAATAATAGAGATAATACATAGGAATACATACAAACCATTGCAAAACAATAAAAAGCTCTACAAAGGAGCTACAATTCCTGAAAGTTTCTTTACAATTGAGCCCAAGATTGACCCTCAAAGTTAAATAAGTAAAAAACTTGAAATTTTTATTTTTAATATTTTCAGTATTTAGAGATCCATACAACATACAAATTTAGCTTTTTCTTTATAGCTCAGAAACCCTTTACAGTTAAGGCACGATCCATGATTCAGAAGCCCCTCATGACCCAGAAATCCTTGTAGTCCAAAATTTTTAATTTCTTGGAATCTCTCTACTAATAATTTTTTTTTAATAACTATAAGTCCCTTATTAGCTCAGAAACCTTTCAAAGCTAAGAAACTTTTTATAACTTGGAAGTTGTTTACAGCTTAAAAACTTTAATGACTCAGAAGCTTTTCATTGATCACAAAAGACATTTATTGCTCATTATAAGCCGTTGACAGTTGAAAACTTTTATTACCTACTCAGAAGCCATGCAGACATTAAAGCCTTTATGAACCAATGTTTTTTTTTGCTCAGAAGTCCTTTTTATTTAGGAAATTTTCTAAAGTTCTTTATAGTTCAGCCTCGAGTTCAGCATTTTTCTATGACTCAAAGCCTTCTAAAGCTCAGAAAGTTTATATGATTCAAAATTTTTTTTAGGATCCAGAAAACTGTTGATTTGCTTTAAAATTCAATTTTTGAATATTTCTGGTTCTTGACTGGCTTAAAATTCAATGTTTGAATATTCTTGGTTATTGATTGGCTTTAAAATTGGAGATGTTTCTTAACATTCAGTCATTGGAGACTAGGAGGTCGAATTTAGATGTACTGTTCGCACATGAAATTCTGCATGGTTCTATAGACTGCTCGGAACTTCTCCATCAACTTGACTTTTACGTTCCCCCACGATCATCAAGAAATCATAAAACTTTTCAAACGCAGCAGCATCGAACGTGTTACGGTCAAAACACTGCGGTGAATAGAATCATGGAGGGTTGCAACAGTATTGATGTTGATCTGTTTATGGTCTCTGAGCTTTCATTGAGAAAGGTGCTGAGGAGGAAGTAGTTTTATAGCATTTGTACCTACTTATTGTTGTATGGTCAATTTAATCCTGGCTTGAATCTGAATGATTGTAGATTGTAATACCTACCCAACTGTTGTGGTGCGCCTATCTGGGTCAAGGTTTAGGAGTACTACTTAGTGTATTAATTGCATTTTGTATTTCTGTTATTACTAGAATTAATATTGTAAATGCCTACCATGTATGTAATGGATTTACCGTTAAATAAATAAATAAATAAATCAATAAATATATATTCGATTTTTAAAAATTTTCCTGGTTTCTTATTAGCTTTAAAGCCAGTCACCTGGTATCCTCTCTCCAAGGCATCTGTCAGTTTACTATGGTAGATGAGAAAATTGGTCAGTGTAAAATGACCACCCCTAAATTCATGTTGCTCATCAATAAGGATTTCTTTAGGTCTATAAACCTAGCAGGCCCAAGGTGGAAAAAAACTTTGGGAACTATATAATAATTAGGTGCTTTTTAGGTGCTAATTAGGACCTCTAATTAAAAATTAGGTGCTCCTCTAGTTTTTGAGAAAATCAAAAAAAACTAAGGGACTGCTAGGTTTATAAAAGCTAGCAGTCCCCTATAGTAAAAAATATTTTTTCAAATTTTTTCTTTGTATCAGAATTAGGTGCTTTTTAGGTGCTCCTGAATAGTTCAAGAAAAAATAGAATTGATTAATTATTAACTGAGTTACAGATTTTTTTTAATTATTAGGGGACTGCTGACTTTACGTTTACTTGTTGGTGTGTCCGAATGGCAAAAAAACTTCGGGATCTATATAATAATTAGGTGCTTTTTAGGCGCTAATTAGGGCCTCTAATTAAAAATTAGGTGCTCCTCTAGTTTTTGAGGAAATCAAAAAAAACTAAGAGATTGCTGGGTTTATGAAAGCTAGTAGTCCCCTATAGTAAAAAATATTCTTCCAAAATTTTTTTTTATATCAGAATTAGGTGCTTTTTAGGTGCTCCTAAATAGTCGAAGAAAAAATAGAATTGATTAATTATTAACTGAGTTACAGATTTTTTTTAAAAATTATTAGGGGACTGCTGGCTTTACGTTTACATGTAATGGCACAAAAACTTTGGGGTCTATATATTAATTAGGTGCTTTTTAGGTGCTAATTAGGGCCTCTAATTAAAAATTAGGTGCTCCTCTAGTTTTTGAGAAAATCAAAAAAAAACTAAGGGATTGCTAGGTTTATGAAAGCTAGCAGTCCCCTATAGTTTTGTTTCAGAATTAGGTGCTATTTAAGTGCTCCTAAATAGTTGAAGAAAAACTTGAATCAGTTAACTATTAACTGAATTACAGATTTTTTTCATTATTAGGAAATTGTTGGCTTCACTTTTACTTGGTGATGTGCCAGAATAGAAAAAAAATTTTGGGGTCTATATAATAATAATAATTAGGTACTTTTTAGGTGCTAATTAGGGCGAGTAATTAAAAATTAGATGCTCCTTTAGCTTTTTGGAAAAATATTTTTCACTATAGGGGACTACTAGCTTTCATAAACCTAGCAATCCCTTAGTTTTTTTTTGATTTTCTCAAAAACTAAAGGAGCACCTGATTTTTAATTAGAGGCCCTAATTAGCACCTAAAAAGCACCTAATTGTTATATAGATCCCGAAGTTTTTTTGCCATTCTGACACACCAACAAGTAAACATAAAGCCAGCAGTCCCCTAATAATTAAAAAAAAAATTGTAACTCAGTTAATAATTAATCAATTCATACAAAAAAAATTTTTGAAAATAGTTATTTATGCAACAAGTGTGTAAAGTGAACCTTTTTTCACGAATGTGAATTTTGACAAGCCATAGGCGAGTGCGACAATCACATAGTGAAAAAAGGTGCTTTGCGCACGTATTGCATACAAAATTTTTTCTACTACCAATCAAATATGTGTAAAAAATAAATTTAGACAAATTCTTCACGCACTAGTGCATAAAGTATTCTCACTTTACGCACTAGTGCGTAAAGTAATTTACCAGAAAAATAGTAATTTGGCAGTGTTGACATCTGTCATTGACATTACTTTACGCACTTGTGTGTGAAGTGAATTACTTTACGCACTAGTGTGTGAAGAGAAATTTTACGTCTTCTGAATAGTGCGTAAAGTGAGTACTTTACGCACGGTAGTAGAAAAAATATTTTTTACTATAGAAGACTTCTAGCTTTCATAAACCTAGCGGTCCCTTAGTTTTTTTTGATTTTCCCAAAAACTAGAGGAGCTCCTAATTTTCAGTTAGCGGCCCTAATTAGCACCTAAAAAGCACCTAATTATTATATAGTTCCCGAAGTTTTTTTCCACCTTGGGACTGCTAGGTTTATAGACTTAATTTCTTTACACTTCCAGTTTAAGTATATGTACCATCGTCACCAAAAGTAACTGGGACAGCACCACATTAGCTCTTGTCCTATTATATGAATTTTATTGTCAAATATTTGTCAAACTATGAATTAAATGCATTGAAATGAATGACACTAGAATTAGTCCAGGAGATTATTATGCATTATTTGTGTCCCAGATACTTTTGGTGACGATGGTACATCAAGCTATCCAAAAACCTTTGGGATTGAAGTAGGCATAGAAACACTGTGGTAATTTTTGTGATCATCCTTTTGAACTGATTTAAAAATAGGTGAAAAATAGCTTTTCTCCTAGATTTCTGGAAAAAATGATGTGTTCAAGGCAGTGGCGGCTCGTGGTATAACATATTGGGGGTGCACATAATTTGTAATTCATAATAAATGCCGAAAGGGGGATGCCGAAATTTTTTGGGGTGCCACGCCACGCCCAGAAGTGTTTATTTTAGGCCTTTAAAAAAATAATTTATTGTAAGTGATCGTATGAGTTATGTGATGTGTTTACCTACCAATAATTAAAAATATTGTTAAGGGATTTCATATCTACCCTACCAAACAACCAACTAAGCTCAATTTAATACTTTTTTCGGTCTATCAAATCGTGGAAATTGAAGGATCTTATATCAATAAACTAGAAATTAAGTAACAAAGTAACTTACCTCACTGAGTACATCGTCCTGGTCTAACAATTGTTTTTATACATAAATGTATTATAGTTTTCAATCTCACAGACACGTTTTGTATTGAAAGATAAGAGTAAGATGTGATTTTGAGTTTTGATGTTTGAATGTGCAGTGAACGGGGCGTTCAGGCGACGCGGTGGACGCTGTGATTCCAGCGTTGCCGGTTGCGTTTGTTTTGCTGGCGCATTTGGCCACTAATTTTTTAAATTAATACTTTACAGGTAGAATGTTAAAATTTGAAGAATGATAAAATTAAATTTAAAGTTGTTTGATATTAATTTGGGAGTGCACGTGCACATGTGCTCTTATGGAGGAACCGCCACTGGTTCAAGGACAGGTTGAAGAGTTTACATGAAGGGTGAGATAAAGATTATCTGCATTGTTTCAAAACCACATTTGGTATTCCATCAAATACTTAAGAAACACTTATTGATAGGACAAGACAGATTAATATGTTTTATTGTTAAAATATCCAAATAAGTAGTACCTATACATTAATAGGTAAGAGAATCAATCATATTAGGTATTATTGGGAAATCCTAAAATAAGCACAAGCAATGAAAGAAATATGTAGATTATAAATTGAAATAAAACAACACATTCAAGACAATTTTATTAAAAAACATCATTGTAATACTTACACATGTTTAAAAGTAGACCTTTTTCCTATTTTAAATGTTTGAATGAAATTGGTTCTACTTATGTAAAATACTTTTGGACGTCTCATTGAGGCAGGGTTTTTGAATATTTCTATTGGGTTTTTGTGATACTTTTTGTAGGGGTCTTGTGTTTACTTAAAACTATATATATTATTTCTGTATGAGCACATGTATGAGTGAGTTTTTGTCGACCCAATAAGCCCAAAGCCCACTGGGTTTTTGTCAACCGTGCATTAAGTGAAAAATTTGTCTCGAAATTTGTACTATTACTATAAAAGGCCTAATTTTACTGTAATGAGCTTTGGGTGGGGTCTGGTAAATATAAGGACCCACAGAATTTCACTTTTATTTTTTTTTTAGAGGAATCCTCTATTATTATAGACCAGTTTAAAAGAAAAAAATCGCTGGATAACGCACTTTTGAAAGGAGGAAAAAGAATAATAAAACAAGCCATTTATACAACATTTCAATGTTAAAACTCCACTATTACTAGGTACTTACAATGTTGCCAAGTTTTACCATTAACGTGAATTTGAAGACTTGTTAATTATTTCCAATGACATCAAAACACAGATAGACCGAACAATAAACAAAATTTTCGTATGACAACATCTCTCTGTCTCTTTTGGGTCTTTGTGCTATCCCCACCACTGAGAATGCCAAATTTTGTCTTGAATCCCTAAATAATATATTTTTCTCCTCTAATTAACATTTTCAATTTTATTTCGGAACTCAATTTGGCAACAGCAGATTATAGCAAAACACCGACCAGAAGCGGCTTGTTGAATGGCAAGCAGGTGTTGATTGTAGTAGCTAGCTATCTTTATTGCAAACAGGGATTATTCATTAGCGTTAAACAAGAAACGACTAACACGATATTGGTACTCCCAGAATAAAGGGCTCGTATCGAATATTTTCAATTTATTTGTCAATTTGTTATTTTATTTATTCATCCAATTAAATTTCGAGATATATTCACGTGTGGGCGGGGTTTTTTACACCATTTTGAGCAATGATGTCTCCCTACCCCGACCCCGCGAGCAACTCACCTCCCCTGGCCCATGGGTGGTCTTGTCAACACAACAAATAATAGTTTATGAATGGGATGATCCGTCTATCTGTGTTTTGATGTCATTGATTATTGCCATTTCGCATATATAATTTTTTTTTAAATAAAGCGTTTCATTGAAGGAAAATTAATCATAAACCAACTTAACTTTATTTACATAAATCCATAAACGTTCCAATAATAATAACAAAAGAAAAATCAAAAAAAGAAAACAATTTTATCAAAATATGTATAAATACATAGGTAAGTGAAAAAAAATTACATAAATGGATAATGCTGACCAATGTGGTCCAGGATATTAAAAAAATGCTCAGCAGCAGTGTCAATGTGATTTTTTTATATTTAATAGAAATTATATTTTTTTTTTATAAATTCAAGTCCACGCCCTTCAAAAATAGGCATTCATCATAGTGATCCTCTTCTCAACCTTTAACACAGATCAATAAATAATATCTGTTCTTATCAGCTTAATATCGCTCTGCATGGAAAAATTCAACATACTAGAACAATTTCGATAATTTAAAAAATTATCTTTCGAGTTAGGTACCCTCTGGAACCACTGGAATAATCGAGCAACTTATTGTATTTGATTTTATTAAATTTCAATATTTCTCACCATATAGAAACAAATCATCATTTTGAAGCAATTTCCATGAACAAGTATCTCCTCGAGTATCTCTGAAAAACCGATATCATTGTATCACTGTTTTCTTAGAGATATTAGTAGACATAGCAGCACATCCCACTCTAACTTCACACGCCCATTCCCACAACAGAAAAAGTGATACTCGTAAGGGGACTTTTTTGGCAAAAATCTCAGTTCATCCATCGTTTTTTTTGTTTTAATAGGTCCAAAATGCAATAATGTTTCTATTGCATATTCAAAAATTGTTAGATTCTGTGGGTCCTAATGTTCACCAGAACCCTTTGGGTGTATTTGAAACACAAATTTAACATTAAAAATCCTCACCTCTTTTGTTCAGCAATCAAAATCTCAGTCATTTTTTCCCGGTTCTTGTTCCAGGCCACCTTAACATCGTCAGCCCTCTTGTACCTCTTCTGTTGCCTCAAACGCAAGCACTCCTGCTTAACACGTTTCTTCCAATCCAAATTATTCTTGTTTTTCATTTTGCAGCTAATTTATAGGTATTTTAATGGTAATTATTGTTCTAAAAAATGGTACTTACAAAGTTTCTGCTGCTCTGGATGTTTTTGCATGAAATTAAGCAAGGAAAAGGCGGAATTTATTTGGGGCTCGATTAGTGCAGCCCCAAATATCAATAATAATTGATTTTTGGCGCCTTTCTCACAAAAATATTAATTAACAAAAACAAGAAGCCACCAGCCAAGAAGCCATCACAATCACACAAGGGACTATCCTATCTAGACAGACAAATGACAATGATATATTTGTCCTTTTCTATAACAGGGTAATAAAGAGAGAGAACAATATTAATTCAAAATATATCCTGGCGCCATCTATGATTACTTTTACGTACTAACGCTTCCTAGTTCATCTAACCTAACCTCACTTTTCAAATCAAATGGTAAACAAAGGAGAAGTGATTTTACAAAATTTAAATTATTAATAATAATAATAGAGAAATGGCTTTAAATGTTTATTTGGGCATTTGGAACGAAGGCAAGTTGCGTAGGATTAAAGTAGACGTTGCAGACTTGGAGTCGAACGTGGAAGTTTTGAAATCCCCCCTTGAAAAGGAGTTGGGAGAAAAGGCTACTGATACCCACGGTAAATTGTTGATTATATCAATATCTTAGCAAAAATACTATGTTAAATCTTGTTCTAGAACTCACATTCTGTGGTTTACTACTAGAAGACAAGAAGCCCTTATCAAGCTATGGAGTAACTGCAGGAGTAACGATTCATGTGACCGAGAAGCCCAAAATTAATGAGCCTTCCAAACAAGCTGATATTAAATTCACAGAAGTAACCATTCAAGAGTTCGTCAGCAATTATAGGAGCTTTAAAGGGTCTCCTTTATTCAGGAGCACTTTACATGTAAGAATTATCTTTATTTGTGAAGTGAGCTTTCTGTGGCTAGCAATAAAATTTTTACCTACTAGTGTAAGAAAAGTGCACTTTACCGCACTTATTTGCAAGTGGAAAGTAGTACCTTATTGCACATTATATAGTAAGAATCACTTTCCACATCTGTTAAGTATAAAGCCCAATTTATAAACTCACCGTCGAACGTTAACGTTTGCGTTTAGCACGCCGTTACCAAGTGAATATAGTGCAGGAAAAAGTCACTTCCTTCATGATTTTTTTTTTTTTTTTGAGGTATAACCAAATGAAACCTTTATTACATCACTAGATACGTCATTGGACATCCGAAATGGCTATTTTCAACTTTTTTCAACGGTACCGATTATTTCTAAATCAAAAAATATGTAAAATTTGTGAAAATAATTGTTTCATACTTTTTTACACATAACTCGTAATATCTCGGAAACTAATTGAGATAATTGAACAATTTTTTTTTTCAGTCCATGGAGAAAATGTGGACGAACGTAACTGTGCTGATTCGGTTTCCTCGAAATACATAGTTTTTTCTGCATATTGGGAGGAAACTCGGACAGATAGTTTTTTGTAGCACTTTTTTCGGTAAGCGAGAAACTTTTTTGTTTTAAGGAATTTTGCCATACTATCTGCGTATGAATTAAAGCTAAGGCTCCGAGAAAGAAAAAAAAAAAATTGCAGTACGATACGATGCCCACTGTTCAAGTTATCGGTACTTGACGTTGAAAGCATCTCTGGCCACGCTTCCCTTCTCCCTTGACGCGCCTCCTGTGCGAGATTCCTCCCAATATGCAGAAACAACTATGTATTTCGAGGAAACCAAATTAGCACAGTTACGTTTGCTCATGTTTCGTCCATCGATTAAAAAAAAAATGTTCAATTATCTCAATTAGTTTCCGAGATATTGCGACTTATGTTTAAAAAAGTACGAAACAATTATTTTCACAAATTTTACATATTTTTCGATCTAGAAAAAATCGGTACCGTTAAAAAAAGTCGTAAACGGCCATTCCATATGTCCAATGAAGCATCTAATGATATCACAAAGGTTTAATCTGGTTATACCTCAAAAAAAAAAATTGAAACATTTTTCACCCTATTTCGCTGCACTAGTATCAGAAATCTCATAGACGCAAACGCAAACGGAATACCGACGTCAAGTTCATAAATTGAGCTTAACTCGAGGGGTTTTTCACCTTGTTAATCGGTGTACAAATCACTGGTTAATATATGTCAATACCAGATAAATACTATGTCAATAGTGTCAATACTATGCAATACCTACTTGTTAATTATGTAGGTAATATATGTCAATACTTCTAGATATCTAGGCAATAAAATGTTAATGTCATTGGTTGATACCTATTAATAACATGAAAATATCAGTGGATATGTCAATACCTACAATTCTGACAAGACAAATACTTATTTGATTTTAGTCTGTCAATAGCATGGCAATGCCTGGTAATATGTAATAATACTAGGGAAATACCCGGCAATATGTGGAAATATTTTGTTAATATATGGAAATAGTTGGCAATAACTTATTATTAGGTACATAGAAATATCTGTTAATACATGGAAATATCTCAGTTAGTACTGTTAATCGGTATACAAATTTTGTAAGGTGAAAAATCCCTAGCTATAACTATTACAGTCAACCAGTTCATTGCTGGTGATGATTATTTTAAAATGCAAAAGTATCTTTTCTTAAATGATTAAATCGAGGACTAAATAGTAACATTTTCTCAGGGTTATTTTACCACTAATTTATGAATTTACTATGAACTATAATAGCCAAATAAATATTAACATCAAATACCTAGTTATTTCCTGAGTTGTTTTTGCTTTAAAACATCATAAACAGCTTGAAAGTTTTTTTAAATAGCTTCTGAGTCAATTTTCAACTTCTGGAAATGTAGTTTCTAGAGACGTGTGTGAAGTTAGCCTCGAATTCTAGCCACGAATTAGGGAAGTATGCCATCCGCACCAAAACGATTTATACATTTTCGCACCAAAACAATTTATACCTACATTTTTTAATTAAACCGTACTGCAAATATGGTTTCTTAGGGAATGCAGAACATGCTTATTTTATCAATAATGATATACCTAATTAATATAAAAAAAATGTGTAAAATCTAAATTATAAAATTTCTCGTGAAGGGTTCTACATTTTTTTCTTCAGATTTTGGACGGAGTACCTTTGGTTTTTAAATCGGTAGGGGATGAGGGGTTGAAAAACTCAGAAAACTCAATAAAAATAGGGTTTTTATTTTTTTTCTCGAGATTTTGGATGGGGTACCACTACCATCTTCTGGCAGCGACTTACGGAAGTGTTCTAGAATATTCCCTCAAATTGGTTTTTAAATCGGTAGGGGATGAGGGGTTGAAAAACTCAGAAAACTCAATAAAAATAGGGTTTTTATTTTTTTTCTTGAGATTTTGGATGGGGTACCACTACCATCTTTTGGCAGCGACTTACGGAAGTGTTCTAGAATACTCCCTCAAATTATTTTTAAATCGGTAGGGGATGAGGGGTTGAAAAACTCAGAAAACTCAATAAAAATAGGGTTTTTATTTTTTTCTAGAGATTTTGGATGGGGTACCACTACCATCTTTTGGCAGCGACTTACGGAAGTGTTCTAGAATACTCCCTCAAATTATTTTTAAATCGGTAGGGGATGAGGGGTTGAAAAACTCAGAAAACTCAATAAAAATATGGTTTTTATTTTTTTTCTCGAGATTTTGGATGGGGTACCACTACCATCTTCTGGCAGCGACTTACGGAAGTGTTCTAGAATACTCCTTCAAATTGGTTTTTAAATCGGTAGGGATATTTTTATTAAGTTTTCTGATTTTATCAACCTCTCATCCCCTACCGATTTAAAAACCAAAGGTACTCCCCGTCCAAAATCTGAAGAAAAAAATGTAGAACCCTTCACGAGAAATTTTATAATTTATTTAGGTAAAGTCTGTTTTTTTTTTAAAGATAAAAGTCAAAATGACATTATGTTGGCAATACAATGTAAAATTGTCAATGCTTTCAATTTTTTTATGTAGAAAAGGCTGGTGTTGCCAACATAGTTACTAAATTTTTGACTTGGGGAATTATCTTTAAAACAAAAATACACTTTTTATCATTATTTATAATAATGATAAAATAAGCATGTTCTGCATTCCCTAAGAAACCATATTTGCAGTACCGTTTAATTAAAAAATGTATAAATTGTTTTGGTGCGAAAATGTATAAATCGTATTGGTGCGGATGGCATACTTCCCTAATTCGTGGCTAGAATTCGAGGCTAACTTCACACACGTTTTCTAGAGTGGTTTTCAGCTTCTAGGATACTGTGGACTATGACAGTTCCAAAATATTCTTTCTGAGTCATTTTCAAGAGTTCAAAATACTGAAAAATACTTCTATAATTTAAACATTTACTTCACTTTTAAAATTATTTTACGTTTGAAGCAGCTTTAGACTTAACAAATTTTGAAGCCATTTTATAGGTACACTTTTGAAAGTGCACTGTTGAAGCTCCCTTCCCATGGGTAAAAAAAATTTTTTTGCATTGAAAAAACCACAAATAAATATTTCAGAGACTAGAAGACTCTGCAGAACTTGACAAGGTCATAGCAGCAGTGCCGGGATTGCAATCCGACCCAATCGCAATCGCTTTCATTTCAAAGCCAGAAATTTTCACTCAACTTGAAGACCCCAAGACTTGTTGGCAAGTGAGGACACATTTCAAATAATAAAAAAAACCTATTGTTGACCTGCAAATTACTTTAGATTGCCGAAAAGAACCCTCTAATTCTAGCAGGCGCCCAGTACATAATAACAGAATTTCATAAAACCACCACAAATACTCGTGCCGCATTGCACCCGCCTCCAACTTCAGGACATTGTTACACCCTAGAAGGCCTATCTGATGACGACGAGGAAATGGAAGGTGCTGGCGGCCAAGGTTCTGGACTTATAACAAGCGCTCAACTAGCAGCAGCTATAGCTTCAGCTGGCCATGGACCCAGTGGCGTTACTGCAACAATTACACCTGACATGTTACAACAAGCTTTGTCTCCTGGCAGGTAAGATTTAGCTTTATGTTTTTTTATTTTCATTAAATGGTTGTAATTGTTTAGATATGCTTCCCAGTTGAGACATATGAGGGAATTAGGATTGGCGGATGAGGTTAGGAATTTGAGGGCCTTAACGGCTACAGCGGGGGATCTTCAGGGAGCCATCGATTTGGTTTTTAGTGGAGCTTTGGACGATTTGTAATCTCTGATTAAATTTTCGATTTTCTTGTTCTTTTTTACATTAAATGTTGGCGTTTCTAGTCTCTATAAGAGGCTGAATTTATTTAATTTTCGATTAATTGTCTTAAAGGTATAACTACTTTATAGGTTTTTATTTATGTATTGAATTTGTTCAAGGGAAATAAACAATATCTATTTGTTCCCATTTTTTCGTCTAATTTTGTATTTATTCCAGGCACTTGAACTTAAGAGCTTGGAATGAAAAAATTAAGAAGTTTCAATGCAGTCTCAATAGTTTTGCAGCTACACTTTAAATTCAAAAAATCCCGATTCTTCTTCTTCTTTCTTCTACTGACTGACAAAATTTCAATCCAATCCGTCCAACAATTTCCTCAAAAAAAATATAAGACATTCTTTAATGTTGTTTTGTGACATGGACATACATTTTGCCTCACAACTTTGCTGATATCAATTTGATCTTAATGTAATTAGGCTCAAATTGAGGCCAATTGAATTCGCTACAAATCTCTAATTAACTAATTGAATCCAGCTTCAATAATTTTGTGGCTGTGAAGCATCAATTCTTTTGACTTTGATTTTTATAAGGGCGAGTTAGCAGAAGGAAATTTTCATTTTTTTTCCCTAAATGTCAATCTTTTCTCTATCCATTTGTAGAATATCGATACAAACCTACAAATATTTTCCTTTAAAAAAAAATAAAGCGTCTCTCAACATCATTTTTTGGAAATTCCATTTTTCCCAAAATGACATTGGCTCACATTTTGCTTCACAACTTTGTTAATTTCAATCTGATTTAAACCTGATTAGGCTCAAAATAAACTCAATTAAATGCTCTTCAAATTTGTAATTCACCATTTGAATCCAGCTTCAATAATTTTGCAGCTGTGAAGCATTAAAGTCTTTTGACTTTGATTTTTATAAGGGCGAATTAGCAAAAGGAAATTTTAATTTTTTTTCCCTAAATGTCAATCTTTTCTCTATTCATTTGTAGAATTTCTATACAATTCACCAATTTTTTTTCTTTAAAAAAAATAAAGCGTCTCTCAACATCATTTTTTGGAAATTCCATTTTTCCCAAAATGACATTGGCACACATTTTGCCTCACAACTTTGTTAATTTCAATCCGATTTTAACGTAATTAGGCTCAAAATAAACTCAATTAAATCCTCTACAAATTTCTAATTCACTTTTTGAATCCAGCTTCAATAATTTTGCAGCTGTGAAGCATCAAAGTCTTTTGACTTTGATTTTTATAAGGGCGAGTTAGCAGAAGGGAATTATAATTTTTTTTCCCTAAATGTCAATCTGTTCTCTATCCATTTGTAAAATTTCGATACAATCCTTCAAATATTTTCCTTTAAAAAAAATAAAGCGTCTCTCAACATCATTTTTGGAAATTCCATTTTTCCCAAAATGACATTGGTACAGAGAAAATTCTAGAGACTGGAATAGAAAAATTGAGAAAATCAGGCCTATGATGTATCCTGTCCTGTTATTTCAACGGCTCTGTTAAGGCTCAACATCTATTTGCGTCTCTATTTTGACGTATAGAATAAACAGTGACAGATAACTTAACGTTGCTGTTAAAATAACAGAAAATGATACATCATGGGCCTGAATACATGAATTTGAAACAGAGAAAAATCTCTGTACTACAGAGAATCTAGAGCTTTTTTAACTCAAAATGCTATAGAACTATACTATACACTTTAAGTTCCATGACTATTGGGTGAAGGCAAAATGTAATGTGCCAACATTGCAGATTCCTTTAAAGCACTATCAAGAAGAGCCCTCTATTATATTTGATAAGCACTATAAAGGGTCTGAAATAGCCCTTAAATAAAATTGATTCCTACCATGTATTAGTAGGTTCATTTTTACCCCTAAAAGCCCTTCATTAAAAACTATATTTAAAATTAAACATTGTTTTAATTATAGGTATTTTCAAACTGCAAACATTTATTTCCATTCTTTTCTTTGAGCCCTTGAAACAAAGCCCTAGACTCTCTGAACATAATTTATTAAAATCCATCAATTCAAAAAAAAAAAATATACAGCATTATTAAAAAAAATATATCAACCAATACACGAAGTTTACTATCGACTAGGGATATAAATGGCGTGCATAAGGGCGAAAGGGCGTAGCCCTTAAAACAAGGGCGGGGTTTCCTAAAGAGCGATCGAGCGAATCGTGTCGGGATTTTAAAGACCCTTCTTATAAAAGAGCCCTTTTTCGCAGTACTGCTGTTTAGTTCAGCCATGGTGTATGAAATGCAAACAACGCTCGTTTTGTGTTTGAGGGAACAATGGGCGGCAGGAAATCCCTTCTTTTTTTTTTCGTAAAGGGAAAGAGATTGCCAAAGGGATGCAGGATGCAAAAAGTCTTGAGGAAAATAGTACTTTATTGGATGAGATCTCTTGTGAAGGGTTAGAAATGTTTGAATGAAGGTTTTTTAATTGTAGGAAAAGCCTTTATTAGGAACTATGTAGCGGAAGTCTAGAGTTCAAGTTTTGTACTTTAATTATGAAATTGTATAGAACTAAATCCTAGGATCTGAAAGAAAGATGACGAGAAAGTGTATTTGAAGCTACATGTCAAATTTATAATAATGTTGCGAGACAAAACTACATTTTCAGTCTCGCGTCTTGATGATATTCAGTTTCAACTTTGAGATCAAGACAAGACGAGAACTGCATAAAGTGTTATTTAAATTTGAAACAAATCTCTAGATTTTGTCTTGAGGTTGAGACGACGAGTTTTTTATGGAGGCCAAATTGTATCTCCATTTACTTAGATACAAAATTTTAAAACATGAAATCCTGGAAAACAAAAATTCGTCTAAATATGGAGAACGAATACATCCAAACTGAAGAACTGCATGTCAGACGTGATTGTAGTCCCTTGATTGGGATAAAATTCAGTGAAAGTTTCAGCATTCTATCTATAATAGAAAAAAAGTTATACCCTTAGTAAAACGATGAAATTTCAATTTTTGTTGTTGTTGAGATTTTGTATTCTAATGGTCAATTAACATCCCCCAAACTCCATACACTAAATTATTCTCAGATTTGAAGCCGAAATCTATGAAAAAAGGCACTCAGAAAAATTGATAAATCACCCCAAATTGCTTAACACGATTTTATCTCAGGAACTATAAGTGCAAATGAGCTGAAATTTTCAGGGATTGTAGTCCTTTGAAAAGGATAAAATTCAGTGAAAGTTTCAGCTTTCTATCTATAATAGAAAAAAAGTTATGACCTTTCAAATTTTCCCAAAATCTAAATCATAAGGTAGGTAGGTACCTTCTTACTAAAACGATGAAATTTCGAATTTTTTTTTTGTCCAGATTTTATGTCCTAATGGTCATTCAACATCCACGAAACTCCATAGACTAAATTATTCTCAGATTTGAAGCCGATATCTATGAAAAAAGGCACTCAGAAAAATTGAAAAATTGATAAATCACCCCAAATTGTTTAACACGATTTTATCTCAGGAACTATAAGTGCAAATGAGCTGAAATTTTCAGGGATTGTAGTCCTTTGAAAAGGATAAAATTCAGTGAAAGTTTCAGCTTTCTATCTATAATAGAAAAAAAGTTATGACCTTTCAAATTTTCCCAAAATCTAAATCATAAGGTAGGTACCTTCTTACTAAAACGATGAAATTTCAAATTTTTTTTTTTCCAGATTTTATGTCCTAATGGTCATTCAACATCCACCAATCTCCATAGACTAATTTATTCTCAGATTTGAAGCCGATATCTATGATGAAAAAAGGCACTCAGAAAAATTGAAAAATTGATAAATCACCCCAAATTGTTTAACACGATTTTATCTCAAGAACTATAAGTGCAAATGAGCTGAAATTTTCAGGGATTGTAGTCCTTTGAAAAGGATAAAATTCAGTGAAAGTTTCAGCTTTCTATCTATAATAGAAAAAAAGTTATGACCTTTCAAATTTTCCCAAAATCTAAATCATAAGGTAGGTACCTTCTTACTAAAACGATGAAATTTCGAATTTTTTTTTTGTCCAGATTTTATGTCCTAATGGTCATTCAACATCCACCAAACTCCATAGACTAAATTATTCTCAGATTTGAAGCCGATATCTATGAAAAAAGGCACTCAGAAAAATTGAAAAATTGATAAATCACCCCAAATTGTTTAACACGATTTTATCTCAGGAACTATAAGTGCAAATGAGCTGAAATTTTCAGGGATTGTAGTCCTTTGAAAAGGATAAAGTTCAGTGAAAGTTTCAGCTTTCTATCTATAATAGAAAAAAGTTATGACCTTTCAAATTTTCCCAAAATCTAAATCATAAGGTACCTTCTTACTAAAACGATGAAATTTCAAATTTTTTTTTTCCAGATTTTATGTCCTAATGGTCATTCAACATTCCCCGAACTCCATAGACTAAATTATTCTCAGATTTGAAGCCGATATCTATGAAAAAAGGCACTCAGAAAAATTGATAAATTGATAAATCACCCCAAATTGTTTAACACGATTTTATCTCAGGAACTATAAGTGCAAATGAGCTGAAATTTTCAGGGATTGTAGTCCTTTGAAAAGGATAAAGTTCAGTGAAAGTTTCAGCTTTCTATCTATAATAGAAAAAAGTTATGACCTTTCAAATTTTCCCAAAATCTAAATCAGAAGGTACCTTCTTACTAAAACGATGAAATTTCAAATTTTTTTTTGTCCAGATTTTATGTCCTAATGGTCATTCAACATTCCCCGAACTCCATACACTAAATTATTCTCAGATTTGAAGCCGATATCTATGAAAAAAGGCACTCAGAAAAATTGATAAATTGATAAATCACCCCAAATTGTTTAACACGATTTTATCTCAGGAACTATAAGTGCAAATGAGCTGAAATTTTCAGGGATTGTAGTCCTTTGAAAAGGATAAAATTCAGTGAAAGTTTCAGCTTTCTATCTATAATAGAAAAAAAGTTATGACCTTTCAAATTTTCCCAAAATCTAAATCATAAGGTAGGTACCTTCTTACTAAAACGATGAAATTTCGAATTTTTTTTTGTCCAGATTTTATGTCCTAATGGTCATTCAACATCCACCAAACTCCATAGACTAAATTATTCTCAGATTTGAAGCCGATATCTATGAAAAAAGGCACTCAGAAAAATTGAAAAATTGATAAATCACCCCAAATTGT